CGGCAAGAAGCGAAAAGAAGGATGCCTGTCTGAGGCGGCGTCGAGGAGTGGGTGGCACATCCATCTCCCCGATCCCCCGAAAAGTTCGTGTGATGGGTGTATCTACTATGTATGGATGTGGGATGTACCATGTAGCGTGGGGTGACACACACACCACACCCACCATACATACACACCACCCACATATCGTAAGCTGGGACTTAAATCGTCGGGTTCAGTTGTGCTCAATGGGGACAATCTCCAATTTACATACGAGAAGCCCCGACGGCGAGTTCGGTTGACGTGATGTCCGGCTTCGCTACTCCAGCCCGACTTCACCTCCAGTAACCAGATCGGTTTTGTGCTCTGTGGAAGGATCGCTGACTCCGATACACAGCAGAGAACACAAATCAACCTTGAAAACAATCACGAAACAGCTTCATAATGTGAATCACCATGGTCATCTCGACCTAATATTTTCGGCGTCGTATTTGTAGTGTAGCTACCATCCACCTCTTTGGGCTATGCCCATATACTATATAGTCTACATTGCGACAAAAGCTGAAACCAAGCATTGCCGCCTAAATGCTAGTATATCAAAGGAATAACAGTCGTAAGTATTACTAGTTATACATAGCTCGTATGCCGTAGAGTTCTAGACTCCCAAGGCCTGATCCCTTTTTACCTTTACACCTGATCCCACATAACAACCAGACCACCGGTACCGAGCATCCCGGAGAGCCTCTCATACAACACACACACCCATCCAACCCGATTACCCATCAACCTACCTAACTACCCATCCAATCAACCATCATGTTGGGTCTCTGCCTCACCCTCCACAACCCACCACCACCACCACTCATTTCCCCCAAGCCAACTCCCCCGGATCCTCCCACTTGATGGGATGCACCAACATACTCCTCAAACACATCCTCCCCGTCCCCTCCTCCTCCTCCTTCCTACCACCCCTCAACCTCCCGCCCGTCTCCCCACTACTCGTTGCCTTCTCCCCCTTCTCCCCTCCCGCCGGCCCCTCCACCTGCGCGTACCCAAGCCACCGTCTCCAAACCGTCCCCGCAAACTGCGCATCATAATACCACGTGCTCCCCTTATGATGGTACTCATTCTGGTACTGATACGGACTTCCTTTGCCGCTGGTGGTATGGTCGCGTCCGCCGTTGAACGTCCGATCAATGGCTTCGAGATCCCATTGGCGGTCCAGGTATACTGGATGGGGCGCATAGACGGCTTTAAGACCGTGGTGGAGGGCCATGGTGGCCGGGAACATCTCGGTGAACATGACGTGGTGGAACCGGTGGGTTTCTTCGTGCATCACGTTCAGTAAACGGCGGGAGAGGCGGGAGGCGGTGATGATGGAGGCGCGCCGCGGCGGAGGGGGGTGGGAGCGGTCGTAGCCGGTTATGTCGAGGTGATAGACCCAGCCGGAGGAGTCGGCGTCGAAAATGGGGTTGAGGGTGATGAGGTCGGCGTCTTCGTCGATGCCGCAGGTTGTGACATCTTCGGGGGGCGAGGTCGTGGTGGTTGTAATGGCTTCGAGGTCGTCGTCGGGGGAGCCCGCGCGAGGTGGGTGATGATGGTGGTGACGATGTGCTTGTGCTTGTGCCTGTGCCTTTGGTGGTCGGTTCGCATATGGACGCGGGTTCACAATAGTGACAGCGTTCTTGGGGCAGGTTGGGGGGAGGAAGGACACGCCACGCTTCTCCGAACGGAGTCTCAAGCGTCCGGGATAGTGGACGGGACCCATAACCGGGCCATGGCCACTGGCAACAGTCTGGTTGTGGACGAGTTGGGTAAAGTTGTCCCAGCTGCCGTGATAGTGCGGGATGTAGTATCGCTCGGAACGCTCCCACATCTCGTGACGAGACTGTTTCTTGGCCCAAATGCCGAGACGATCAAAGAGCTCGTAGTAATTACCTATCCACCGCATGTCCATCTCCCAGTTCCAGAAGTGGTCGTACTCTGGGTGTGCCTGGGCAAAATGTTGGAGCGGGAAATGAGCACTGCGGTAGACGCCGTGGATGCTGCTAAAGCTTGGGTTGGTGAACGACCGGGCGAAAGGACCGGGATAGTAGAGACGCATTTGGTCTTCCGACCACAACGTACACAGACTGTGGAATTCCGGGGGCACGTTATCATCCAACACCTTTTGGACAGCCTTCGGATCTGCCCAGATGGGCTCGTCATTGTCCAGAACATGAAGGAGGAAGTGTACCGTGTACTCGCCTCCTGATTGTAGCGAAACCTCGGAAATCATTGCACGGAAGTTGAGGACTGCGTGTTCCGTCCAGGGAAATCCGACATACAACCGCACTACAATCGCCGTGCGGGCAATCTTTTTGCGCTTATGTTGCTGGAAAACTTGCTTTTGATCCTTCTCCATTTCTCCCGTAGGAGCACTTGCGGTGTTACTGGGAGCTTCGCCGAACCGCTCTTTATTGACTTCGAGACACCGGCTCTGAGCGTCACCCCAATCGACGTTGCTGTAGTCAATCTTGCCTGTTTTGGCCCACACAATGTCGCTTCCGTTTTTCTCGGTATCCATTCCCACATCCAGGCCGCCATCGTCATAGCTGTAGCCTAAACCATATGGCCCATATCTGCCGAATCTGTCGAAACAAACATCATCCCTCAAGCCAAAGAGCTTGTGTGAACCGATGACAGGCTCCGGTAGCCCCTGTGGAAGACCGTTGTACGCAAGGACAATGGGAACCGGTATTGTCTCCTCTTTGTCGAGGTAACACGGCTTGACATCGTGATACTTGCTCACATATCTGGATGACTTGTAGTCCGGCTGTGGGACATACGGCGTGGGAGTGTGTGTTCTTGAGAGGCTGACTGTGAAAGGTGAAGTTTTGTGCTGGTCATCCCTATTTGGGTATTCTGGCTTGTGGTTTTCTACTGGCACTAGAGTCTTGAGACCATGAAAGAAGCCATCAAGGCTAAGTAGTGTATGTTAGTATTGATGTGAAGTTGGGGATAAATCACTGCCATTTCCACTTACCGCCTGAAACGCAGCCATTGAGGCAAATTTGTTTCCTCCTTCATCTTCCTCTTCTCATACGCATCTGCCAGCAAGAACATAAATGTGGCTGCGTTCTCCTCCTCATCGACCTGGGCTTGTGTTTGTGTCTCTATCCGGGTTTCTTTGTGGGCTTTGATCTCGGGGGCTTCGCCATGTGTTATGGAGACACCACTTCTCGAGAGAGTTATCGCCGAAAGGGCAAGTACTGCGATAGTCCATAGTATTACTCTTCGATATAAACAGTGGCTGATCAATGTCCGCACTTGAATTCTCTGCTTCTTGCGTGCCGTGAAAGGGAGGAGAGGCTTTTCTTTCGCTGTAGATGGAAGGCCGGATAACAATTTTGATGTCCGGATCATGAAGAGCGTGGAGACGGACCTACGGATTGGCCCTTGTAAGCTGGGTTCAAGGCAATAGTATGGTTTGAGCCAGAGAACTCTAGGTGAAGAAAGTCAATATACTTGAGATCATGCAAGTGGAAACTCGCGCTTAATCAGCTGGTGAAATAAAGCGTTGATAGCAGAAAGAGATGATCTGGAGACGGGAAAGGGGCTCGGAGGAAACGAATACCTGGAAGAGATGGAGGAACTCGTAAAGTTCTTTCGTGGGGAAATGTCCCATCTTGATCGGTCCTCGCCGGACTACCTGGGAACATTGGCCGGCGATGCAGGCACAAGACACAACATGGTTGCAGAACAGCACTAAGGTAGCTAACGAAGCTCACTCAATCATTTGCCTTCTGCGGAGGAATGTATGTTCTTAGCTCTACTCACTAAGGCTGGGAGAAACTGAGCTGACATGTCGAATGGCTTCAGGCGGGACGTGGAGCCATCGGGAGACAGGGAATTTTGAACAACACAATTCGCTTCGGAGAAGCCCAGTGACCTGTACCTTCCATCCTTCTCCTTGAGTACAAGGAGTTCAAGGAATATGAGAGTAGTGCTTCCTGGTTTCAACACTCTCATGGGTTTGGAGACGGAACTTGGGCACAAGCACAAGAAGAGACTCCTAGTCACGACAAGATAACTGGCGGACGGTTTCTCGGACCACAACCGTATCTGGCAATGGCGAGAGGATAAAAGGCTGAGGAATCTGTCCAGAAGCCTTGACAACTCAGCTGCCGGGTCATGGGCGCTGGTCAGAAGACGGGTCAATAAGAACACGAGCCAAGCGTTTGTGAGGAACTTGGGTCTTTGCACGAGATACCAGGAGTCTCGAAGTTGTTGGAGCGCAACATTTGCGGTATCAATCGTTGGAGAGGGTGGTGTAGTCAAGTCGAGTTCGTTGAGAAAAAAGAGGTTGCGGGAAAATCCCGCCAAGGTAGTCACGATAGAATTTGGAGGCGGTCGGCCCCAGGCTTTCCGTTTGCATTAGGCCAGCTACCGTTTGCTAGTAAACGTTAGTGTGTCAACGTTCATTGCTGTGTATTTCCAAACAAAGCCAAACAGTCTTCAGCAATGAAGGCGCGTTCAAGAGACGAGCTCGACGAGCTCCTTCCCCGCATGCCTCCTATCGCTCACTTCGTTAAGGTGTGCTTTCCATTTTAATCCACAACGTCACCTTTTCTTTCCGTCATTTCGAATTCTTCATGGCCGACAGCTGAAGCGCAATCAAGTCCAGTTGTCATACACGTGATCACTGCTGTTTTTCTTTGCCGTGTGCACTCGTGAGACGTGGCGAACGCAGAAAACTTTTCAAGATCGTGGCGATGCCCTGAAGCACAAGCATGTATGGCCGACTTCTTGCATGGCAGCCGTCCCGGATTCGCTGTTGTGCCGTCTTCCCCTGACGCATACGATGCAAGTGTCTTCACATCCACAAAATAACAGGAGCCCATCACCCCATCCAGCCATCTGTGCAAGAAACAAGTCGACAGATGGGTAAGAAGATTATGTAGGTATCTCTATCATCTCTCATGACTGACATATATGCCGTGTATGTGCGTTGGTAGGTATGCTCAAGAAAAAAAAGAAAGCCGTTGTTGCGTTTGTTCGCTGGCCGCCCGCTCGATATCCTTTTCCTCTTTCCTTGCCGTGACTTCATTAGAGGTAACCAAGAAACTTTCATGCTCCCCTTAAAACAACTCTCTTGCAGGGCATGCATGATTCAAAGGCTCATTCTCTCACTCCACCCTGCCCTTCCGAGTCATTCCCCGTGGTCGTGCCCTGCTCCTCCTTTCCGCTCCCATTCGTAGTAACCTTGATCATCTCATGCCTCAACAACACGGCTGGATCCAACACCAAGAAGATGCCCGCCGAAATGACCATCAACGTCGCATCCAACCCGATAAAGTATCCCTCGTGGGTAATCAGATACCCACTCCACCCCTGCGCCAACTCGACCGTGCGGTACACACTCCTGATATAAATCATGACAAACGACACAAACAGCGCCAGCACCGTCAGCTTCATGTTTCTCGTCAGTCCCCCCCGTCCATCCCTTCGGCCCTTGGCCAGCGCATACACCCTCCTCAGGAAATCCAGCACCAGCACGGCAAACACGGTCATGGTGAACAGTTGGAACACGATTCCCGCCACCATGGTGTGCGTCCCCGGCTTGGTGTCGCCGCCTTCTTTGTTGGATTCGCCGGACGCCATGCCGCCGCCGATGGCCTGGATGACGAGCGAGATGACGTCGCACGAGCAAAAGATGATGGCGTACCATTTGGCCGAGAGGACGCTGGTCTGGCGCCCGAGAATCCGGATGAGCATCCCGAGGAGAACGTAAAGGGCCGCGGCGAAGAAGGTCGGGGCGATGATGAGGGTGGTGATTTGCATGAGGAAGGCGTCGTTGTTGTAGGGACACTTGGCGGACCAGGTGCGGCCTGCCCAGCCTATTGCTTCGGCTGTTGTTGAAAAAAGTAATGTTAGTTTGGATGTTTTTGCCCCGAGTGTTCATTGGGTAAGTTGTTGACAGTTGGGTGAACTTGGGGTTTGTGGGTGATATGCAGGGACCAGTGAAACATGATCCACCGCCATGGCCCAGTTGACATGACATGTGTAAGTGCACCAGTGATGAATGACGGACAGCAACAAATAAACCAAGACGGAAAAGGATAATACGCACTGATAGCCCCGACCATCATCAACCCCGACGTCCACTGCCGAAACCGAATCAGCTGGACGAGATGACCGATGACACAAATGCCAAAGAGGACATCAAAGGCAATGCCGGCTCCCAGCGTTGGTCGGTACCCGTAACTAGGGTTGACACCTTCGATCAAGTCCGGATAACATTCTTTGCGCAGTTCCATCCATGCAGTCCACAGGTCCGGGTTGATGCCATCCGGGATGTCGGACCCGGATGTATTGTTGGAGCTCATGACTTTTCTTATTTCCGGACGGGACCGGGACGGCGGTATGTGGAGTCACGGATAGAGTGGCTTGAAGGTGTGCAGGTGCCAGGTATGTAGGTGTCGGTATAGAGGACCTGCTGATTCGGTGTCCTCTTTTAGGGCAGTGTAGAAAAGTTACGATGGTTATGAAAGAAAAAGGTCAAAGATCAAACAAGCAGAACGACGATTTTGCAAGCTGAAATTCAGGGTGCTTGCCGTCGAAAGAAAGAAACTGGAAAAACTGTGGGTAGGCCGGCCCCCGAGATATCCGGGAGATTAAAGTACAAAATTTGCTTCTAGTCAAAAGTCCGAGCAAAGGCGGCCGGCCGCGTTCCATATAAGCCGTTTTCCAACAATCCCGTTTTTGAAAAGGAAGAAAAAAGAAAGGCTAAGAAAGAGCTTTGCTCACAAGCTATCAGAAAACGCGTACACTTCGAGGCTCAGATGCCTTGCTCCCATCCATCCATCTTCTGTTTCGGACTCTCCCGTCTTCGTCCAAGTGGGTCTCCTTGCGCTGACAAGTGACAAGAAGGCTGAATATGGCACCCCTGCTCTGGACGGCACGAAGTGTTCTTCACGGTATGCGGTACTGTGGTTGCGAGCAAAAGTCTCACCTTCCCGTCAGGTACCGGGCACGGACCAGTACAACAGGCAAAGCTTCGAGACTCCGAATGGCAACTCGAGTGCCAGAGATCGTCAGCAACGCAACCCACGGGTTCAACTTGCGCATCTTATCACAGTACATACAGTACCGCAGTAGACTATTTATTCAGAACTTTGCGTTTTTCCTGAACGTGATACTGCGTACATCCTATCCCTCTGATGGTGAAAATGTATCATTTTTGCCAAAACCGGAAGGGTCTTGCAGTTGTAGTGTACTAGCGCTTTGTTGACGCAGCTAGCAACGCTAGCTAGGAAGTTCATGTAAAAGATCGACGATGACAAAAGTGTTCGTTTTGCTGATAATAACAGCGATTCTGCAATGTCTTTTGAGGTGTTGTGATGGAGTTATCGAAATGCATTGTTGATCGCGAATATCATGAGATTTGTGCCCGTCGTGTTGAGGTTTGAGAAAGAAATTCGTCCCTCAAGAAGCATTTCGGGATCCTTCGTTCTATGCAAGAGGATGGTAATTCTATTGATTGATTGATGATATGTCAAAAGTTCTGCAAAAGCTGGTGGACTTGAGATACTCGTCAGGTCTACAAAATCGACCGTCTGACTAGTGGCTCGCGAGTATCTGCGTGGGCGCAGATGTGCACCTCTGCTTGAATAAACACAAGGTGGATGAAATAAGGTTGTTCGATTGGCCACTCCCGGATCTTGGCAAGAATGATTCATTTTCACCGTCAAAGGGATGGCTCACAAGCCGGAAGCACCTTGCAGAGAGCCAGCCTTGCCCATTGCCCAAAACACCGAACGTGAACGGAAACGGAAGGTCCCCGAAGAAACTTGCCGGATGGAAGCGATGATTAGCCAGGGAATCGAGAGATATCAGGCAAGAGTGGAAGGATTCGCAGGATTGTAGTGTAAAGAAGGATGGATAGGGTAAGAAACAAGACGGTCAACTTCCTGTCATTCTGCAAAGGCGCCGGGCCGCGCCCAACCTGACCCGGCCTGTCAGCTCCTTGAGGGCAGTGCAACGTGGATGACGGCCGACGGGGATGGGGGAATCAAACCCCCGATTCGTATACTGCCGCTCCAGTCGACTCCAGATATGGCAAGGCAACCGCTGTTCTAGCAAAGATCGAGATGCCCTTTACGGAGTGCCAAGATACAAGCCTCTTGCTCGGACGGTTTGTGCATCCCGAGACGGAGGATTGGTTTCACCGTTTCAGGGGCATTGCGATCCGATAGTCCAAATTGTGATATTCGGCTTCGAAGCTTGAAGTTGCCCTTTGGTGATGAGGAAATTCAACCTGATCCGTGTGAATATGCCTCGAGAGTCAAGACCTTAAGCGTCAAGCCAGTCGGTAGCTCACTGTGATAAGCTTCACCATCCAGTTTCCCCCATCAGGTAGCCAATGAGAATATTAAATGATATATTCTCCTATGCCAATCTTCTCGGTTGACACCATCACCAGGCGCAACAACAAGGCCAGCTCAAGAAACCAAGTTCAGAACCACCCGAGTGTGCCCAGGTCCGTCTGTGTCATCGTCAAATTCCAATCGACGACCTACCTGCTCAATAGCAGGCAGCGCAGGCTGTAAACCTAGCCAAATCAGACGGGCGCACGAAGCGCCAACGGGGCACGGAATTCTGACGATGCTGACGCTCAGGCGAAGTGAGGCTTCTTCAAACTTTGGTACGCGGCTGTTTTCCGTTGTTGATCAATCATGATGCAGAAGGTGGACAAGGATTCATGTGGTTGTATTGTGCAGAGTGTGGTGGTGGCAGTGTGGGAGGCTCATGGTGATGTGTGAGTGTGTCGACGGGAAGATTGAGGTTGGTCCTTATTATCATTTGGTTCAAGTTGGCTGGTTATGCGGCGTGTTGGGATGCTTCCGTCTGCTACCGGCATATGCATTGCGTGGAGGACAGTGGAGTTGAGACTATAGGCTGTACATCCACCCAAAAACTTCAACAATGGCCGTTTGGCGCAACGGTAGCGCGTTACTTTCCGGTGGTAAAGGCTCTGGGTTCGAGTCCCAGGATGGTCGACTTTAATTTTTTCTTTTCTCTTTTCTTTTGCAACCCTTCAACTTCATATCATTCATCCTTGCGCAACCAAGTCTTTTTGTTCCTCTTCCTCTCCTTATCATCTCCGGACTTCGAGTCTTTGAGGCCGCTTGCCTGGACTCGTTCTTCTTTGAACTCATTATCTCCACAACTCTCTTTCATGTGGTCTTTTCTTCCTTCGCCAGTTGAATCTGGGTAAACTCATAATCAAAAAAATACTGTCACCCTCCCTCATATTCACTGTAGCAGGTTCTCGACGGCATCTTGCCATGAAATTAAGCACCTATGACGATGATACAGGTTCAACTTTATCAAATGGCTTCCCCCCAAATCCTTTAAAAAGTCCACAGGCCACTTGATCGACAGATGCTGTCCGACTCGACTTATTCGGTTCACGTGGAAGTGGTACCCGTACCAGTTCCGCTTCATGTAGTCATTTGACTGCTTGTGTCCCTTTGCTCGGAACTCACAACCGGTTGCAACGTCAAGTACCACCAGCTTGATAGTTCAAGTACTGTACTGGGTAATAATGCACTGACATGTTGAAAGACATCGCTTCTGGCCTGCATAATTCGTCAAGGGAGAATGCCAGATATCCAAGCAATATCATCAGCAGCACAGTTCCCCCTCTTCCGTGTTCCGGCTTTATAGGACTAAACCATGGTCTGTATCACATGCCACAGCAGACGACCAGCCATCCCGTGATGGGATCGAAACGCATATTCAGGATAAATCTTTTTGTACAAGGCTGGTGAACCATGTGTTCGGGTCGAGTCCCGGGACATGGTCCTGCCGCTGTTGATCTTTGGCCATTAATGGTCCAGACCGTCAACCTCCAAGTTCGACCTTCCACATCAACCATGTTCAACCGGGAATGAGGGTATCAGAAAGCGAGCATCACGAGCACGGGAACTTATTTGTCGATGGCTGCTCAGACGGAGCTCCCTGATCGGGCTAGGCCGAGCATCGGCGTCGGTGCGGAAGCTAAAGCCGCCAGGGGAGGAAGTGGCTCCTGAAGACCTGGCATTGACCAATGGATAAAGTCCCGATAAGAGACTCCAGGTGGATAGGCTTGCCCCGCATTTTAGTCGAGGCGGTACGACTCCACTAAAACTTTTTCTTTCCTCCTCGTGCCCCTCCTAGGCGACAGTGGGTGGTCGGTCGGGACTTTTGCATGGAATCCCGTGTCTGGACACTTGCTCTACGCTATGTAGAGGCCGGCATCTCCCAGCATTTACGATTCTCCAGACGACTTCCCCTGTGTCCCCTTGTTCTGCCCTCTTTTTTGGTTTTTTTTCTGAGGCTCCGCTTGCCACACTTGATCTCTCGCGGATCGTCTGTGGTGCTCGCAAGTTCGCAGTTTTAGGACTACTTATCGCCCATCACTCACGCCCCGTCTCCGGCCCGGCTGGTAGTCCTGGCAGCAGACGAAGAACCGAAACCCGAAACGAAACCGAAGCGACTTCGGCGAATCATCGATAACGAAATTGTCTTGTCTTTTTTTTTCCTTCTTATTTTTTTATTTTTCCCAGCTCCGAGTCTTATTCCATCTCTCGGCACCCACCCCAATACTTTGTCAACCACGGAGGGACCACGGGTCAGGTCCTAATCGATATCCACTTTAGAGTCATACCTCTACCTTCGCGGTCCAGTTTCACGACCTAACTTCATCGAATCCTTCCATCCGACCGTCGAGCCGATCATACTCGTATTGTTTGTTCCATACGATCCAGCAAAATGTGTGGTATTCTCGCCCTTATCCTCGCGGATACCGATGCGTCGGACGCCTCTGCCGATTTGCACGAGAGCTTGTACTATCTTCAACACCGTGGTCAAGATGCCTGTGGTATCGCGACCTGTGGTTCTGGAGGTAGAATCTTTCAGTGCAAGGGCAATGGCATGGCCTCCAAGGTCTTTGACGATGGCAAGCGCACGGTAGACCTTCCCGGCTACATGGGCATTGCCCATCTTCGTTACCCGACTGCCGGAACTAGCTCTGTATGTATCCGTCCCCTCTCATCTCCGACCCAGCACTTGGTCTCAAAGGCCGAGCTATTTTCTGTGCATTTCGCCCGTTCAGTTTGAGAGACCCTACATATTGTCAACATCCATCCTACGTCCATATGCCTTCTGAATCACCGTTTGGCTAATAGATCACCCATAGAGCGCCGAGAGCCAGCCTTTTTACGTCAACTCGCCCTACGGCATCTGCTTCGCGCACAACGGTAACCTCATCAACGCTCCCGCCCTGCGCAGCTATCTCGACCAAGAGGCCCATCGTCATGTGAACACCGACTCTGACAGCGAGCTGATGCTCAACGTCTTTGCCAACGCCCTGAACGAGACCGGCAAGGCCCGTGTCAACACCGACGACATCTTCAGTGCCCTCAAGAAGACGTACGAGAGGTGCCAAGGTGGCTGGGCCGTCACTGCTATGATTGCTGGCTTCGGTATCTTCGCCTTCCGTGACCAATACGGCATCCGCCCCCTCATTATGGGATCGCGGCCCTCCAGCACCCTCGAAGGCGGTATCGACTACATGTTCGCTTCCGAGAGCATTGCTCTCCGTCAGCTGGGCTTCAGCAACTTTCAGGATATCCTCCCGGGACAAGCCGTGTTCATCCAAAAGAACGGGCAGCCTCAGTTCCACCAGGTTGTTGAGCAAAAGGCTTACTCCCCCGATATCTTCGAGTATGTTTACTTCGCCCGCCCGGATACCATCATGGATGGAATCTCCGTGCACCGCAGCAGGCAGAACATGGGCGTGAAGCTTGCCAACAAGGTCAAGGAGATCCTTGGAGAGGAGGGTGTCAAGGAGATCGATGTGATCATTCCCGTCCCGGAGACCAGTAATACTGCCGCTGCCGTGGTATCAGAGCAGCTTCGGAAACCCTTCTCTAACGGTTTCGTCAAGAACCGTTACGTCTACCGCACCTTCATCTTGCCCGGTCAGAAGGCCAGGCAAAAGAGCGTCCGGAGAAAGCTCAGCGCCATGGAGTCCGAGTTCAAGGACCGTGTCGTCCTGCTCGTGGATGACTCCATTGTCCGTGGAACCACCAGCAGGGAGATTGTGAGCATGGCTCGTGAGGCCGGTGCCCGCAAGGTTATCTTTGCCAGCTGTGCTCCTCCCATCATTTACCCCCACATTGTATGTCCGCGTTTCAACCTGCAAACTTGACTATCAACACTAACACGTTTCCAGTACGGTATCGATCTCGCCTCTCCGCAGGAGCTCATCGCCCACGAGAAGACAAGAAGCGACATCGCCAAGCACATCAATGCCGATGATGTTATTTACCAGGATCTTGCCGACCTTAAGGCGGCGTGTACTGAGGCCTCTCCCGATCACCAGAAGATCACCGACTTTGAAGTGGGTGTGTTCTGCGGCAAATACCAGACCGACATCCCTGAAGGTTACTTCGACCACCTGAACGAGAGCCGTGGCACGAAGCGGAAGGCCGCCGTTGTGAACGGCACCAACAAGGTCTTGGTTGCCAATAGCGGCCCGGTCAATGTAGGTCCTCCACTAATACGAACCTCGCAGTTGAGGCTGTCACTAACACACATAAAGGTTTCTACCCCCGAACCCCCTGCCCTCATGGAGAACCCCGAGAACAGGCAGGATATTAGGTATGTTTCTTTCGTCATATTATACGATGACGCTGTTGGCTAATAGAAGCGGTAATAGCATCCACAACATTGCCAACTCCTAGTAGGCGATTATCATTTTACGGAGTTACGGAACACTGGTGACTAAAAAGACGACGATTCGATATTTGTCTTGCGTAAACGGTGACTGCGCTTGAGAGTTTGCATCACATTGCGCATCATAGTAGAGTATGAGTACGGGCGTCTCTGGATGATGATTTTCTATATGGCATGATAGGCCTGGGGTAGGAAAGTTTGTCTACTCATGCACGCCCGATACACGATCACAACAAACAAAAATTTACAGATAGATGCATAATTACGGAGGAGGCCGTTCGGAGTTCTTTGCTTGTACTTGGGAGGCAACAAGCCGGATGGCATGACAAGCCCCATCAAAAATACTTTGTTTCATTCTTGTTCGCCAGTCGAGAGCTCCTACCGAGATAATCTCCGTTTTTAGAGGACTCTTGTAACATAACACGTTAGAGTAGCGAGAGAGATACAGTACAGTAGTATAGAGAAGTTTTATAACAATAGCGGATGGTGGCATATGTAAAGTGGTGGTATCTTGTATGCTTCCCATCTCCCAAGTGTACATGACTTGGAGGTTCTGACAGAAACTCCTCGCTTATGTTCCCAAGTAGCGTTTTATTCAAATCGCCGTGGCAGCTTCTGAAATCGAAAATACAGACAGACGAAATTAAAATTGGCATGAAGTTCGTTAGTGCAATACCCCCTTTCTCTCTCCATTCAGTGAAGTTCACGACATCGCGGAATATTCAAGATGTTGAACGTGCCCGTCCACACGTGGCATCTCACAATCTCACAGGGCCGGGATATATACTCGGATGGGAAATGGCGCTCTTGAAAAACTCTTTACACAGAGACGCAGATTACATCACATCGTTCCTCTACCTCGGTCACTTGGTCCTCACTTGTTACAGTTTGCACATATACATTCAAATTAACTTACATGGAAAAAGTTCGGATCCTTACAGGTGTCCTGGACATTCCCAACACAATTCTCACTGCGGGTTCATTGTGTGTCACAAGTCGGATTTTACAAATTGTTATTTTCTTTGCGGCTGGCAAGATAAGTGTTATGAGCAGAAAATGATCGAAGTTGGGAGATTCCACAAACTCCGTCAGAACTTGGATGCTGGCTAGCTCAAGCACTCAGGTTATTGACTTTAGACTTCAAAGTCCCGAAAGATCGACTTACACCTAAATTTGAGATTTTGGAGATGGTATCATCTTTCCACATGGAATGACCAGAACTATCGGGGGCAGAGTCTGCCAGAGGTATCGTCACTGCTCTGAGACAAACCGCCCTTTCCCGCTCGCGTTGATGAAGAAGTCCCTACCGAGAATTCGTTCGACCGATTGCTTTGGCTTCGCTTGAACACTTTGGAGAACAGAGACCTCGGCCGCTCAGACAGGCGGAAGGAGCGCTTCTTGTCGCCTTCGATTTTTCTGTTTAAGTGAGCGAGTGATCCGGGGTAGTCATATATCAAGCCCTCAATTTCCAGTTGCAGCTGCCTGATTTTGGCTCAGGAGCATAGCGCCAGTGCGTGGGATTTGAATCTTGGTTGAAGCTGAGGAGGAAGGTGAAATTCAGATGCTGTATGACTGCCGATGTTGGATGCGGGGTTGAAAGCGCCTGCCTGACCAGCGCGGCCAAGGCCATTTTCCTTTCTTGGGAGGAATGTGCCAGGGGTTATAATGGGAATGTCGAGCAATGGGTGGCTTCAAAACCTGATTGGAAAGACCAATCAAGCCTTCAAGTTCTGCTACCGTCGTTCACGCAATTTTTTCTTAATCTTATTCACGGCACTAGTATCGAAGAAAGCATCACCATTCTTCACCCTTCGACATGCCGCGTACGAGATCCAACGGAGAATTCGATAACTGTTCTTTTCTCAGCTTCTACCAACCATGACTTGATTCCCCTGCTCATCATAAGAAACGTTGATTTCGTTGGCAAACGACGCCAGAGATGACGAAACCACACATCAGCTTGTCAAATAGTCCTTGTTAAGCCCCCTTTACCTACCTCGAATCAAGAACCAAACCACAAGTTCACGCGAGCCAGCAAGCTACTTGCGTGACGAACAGCTCTGGCATCACAAGTCATCGATGCAGGTGCTGGGACAGGGCATGTCGGACTTCTTTCTTCGAGACGGATACGTGCATCGGTTTCTTCGTCTCTTCTCTGGTGGAATTGGATGATACTCACCAAGCTGCTGCTGTGTAACCTGGACCAGCTGTCAGACCTGCTGCACACCATACCCCAAACCACAATCCGCAAGACCCCGGACTTCCTCTTCCAGAAGGGGACTTACCACTAAACCGCTCTCAGACAATGTTTGCTACTACTCTGCTGCCTGTCAACGGGGACACCAGCTACCCGGTCCGTGGAGCCGCCGTCAGCTTCAGCATTCTCGGAACATCCCCGGTGGTCTTAGCACACAGCTTCACGCAGGTGACATACAAATCAGGAGCGTAGTCGCTCGAATGCACCCAATTCACCCTTCAATGATTGGCTGCAGCGTACTTGTTTGCTCATCACAGGGAGTCCTGACATCCTCACCATGATCCTCGGTTCCGATGGCTTGTCCACGATCTTCCCAAGCGCCAACCGCAGCGGGCCGGCGGACAGGGCCGTCACCGGGTATATATACGATGGTTCCGAGTGCAAGCCTTATGTACCAAAGCGGTTGGTTGATGTGATGGCCAGACTTGAGCTCCAAACGAGCAGTCGCAAGAGATACGGGGCAATCTGGGCGACGTGGTTATTCCTTTACTGGTTGATACGAGGGCCGGAGGGGCTGAATTACGACCAACCGACCGTATCCCTTGCTATGGACGCTTGATCTTCCGCTAATGGCAAAAAGCCGTTCGTACTTGTGACGATGTCTTGCATGTCATGGCCTCAGATCGCTCAAAGAACCAACGACATGCACCGATCTCCACTGGACACTCGAATCTGAGAACGTAGCTTGACATTTCGGGAAGCTGATTCAACCCCCACGTACCAAACAAATGTTTGTCTTGTACAGCTGCAGGTGTTGACCACTGTTTTGTAAGACGCGATGTGCTTCGCTTGCAGTGAATCATACTATGCCGCCTGGGCTGTCTTCTTGCAACGTACTATCAATGAACAAGCGCCATTGTCGTCAAGCCACAGCAAAGGCTCTGCCGAATCGTTATGACCGCCAGCTTGACAACAACAAGACAAATATATGATCTATCACCCACGGGGCTGAACCTACTCGATATTCCCCCTTTTCTTCTTTTCTCAAATGAACGACCAACATCACAGATCCACGCTGTCTGGCTGCTAATGACTTGGCATGAGCAATAATTGTTCTGGGATCAAGGCGAATGTTCGCACAGAGATGTTTGTCTACACATTCGATATACCCTGCGCACGTTGTGCACAATGGCCATGATTACCTCCATTCTGGCAGCTTGCGAGACTGTGCCTAGGTCTGTATACAAGCCTGCCGAATCTAAGTATAAAGATCCCCCGTGGTGCTCACCTCTGCAACGTCTGATCAGTTCTATCAGCACACACTTAGACCTCCAGATCAAAGATTCCTGCTAGAATCACAACCTCAAGATTCACATCACCCACAACCTATAACGACACTTCACAGGCGCTAGCACACTATATACAACAGGTAATTCAAATAACGCGTCTCCCCAAGCAACTAGCTAGCTAGATACTTCACAACAGACTAAAGCTAATCGTTACCCCCAGCTAAAGGCAAACCACTTTACTACTACTACCACTACCACCACATCACCACAACTACTCAACCTGAGCCCCCAAACAAAAAAGATGTGCGACTTTGACGAATTCGTCTTCACCTGTGGACACTCCACGTTCCGTCTCAAAGCCTACTGCCACCGCGCGCGCAACGATCCCTACAAGGAGTGTCATTACGTCAAGAAGCTCCGGGATGTCTGGGACCAGACGTATCCGTGCAGCGAGTGTGTGAACAGGGCACAAGCGGCGGCAACAGCGGCGGCGCAAGGTATGCACATGGGAAACGACCAAGGGCAGCAAGGCCAGGGACAGCAGGGGTATCAAGAGCAGTATCAGCAGTACTAGAGGTACGTGAAATGGATGGGGTGGCTATTTGTGAGTATTTAGTAAGGAGGTTGAAAGGGGGGGGGGGACATGAGAAATGTTTATGAGGAATCATGTGCCAGTCATTACGATGATGGTTGGGAGACGAGATACCATTTGGGGACTGTCAATGGGTGGTACACTGATATGAGTAGAAGGGAATTTAATGAACACGCTGTAGACTAAGTTATGAAATCAAATTGGATTCAGTTGCGCAAGTGGATTTCTTTCTTTCTTAAAAAAAAAAAAAAAAAAAAAAAAAAAAAGCGAGGGGTGAGGGGGATCAGAGGGAAATAAGATTTTCCGACATCACTGAAATCGCAGTGAGATTCGTCACAAGAAAGGTCGGGGAAGCCACTAGATGTTGATAGTACTACTGCTCCCGTCTGTTCCCTACGACCAGCAGGCAAGGGTTCAGTTGCGAATTTGTGTGTGACGTGATTGTATATACCTATGGAAGGATTTTCCCGTATTCGCTACGTTGAATGTAAAAAAACTTTTTTGTCCGGTTCATTTGATGATGTGAGAGAGAAGAAGAAGAAGAAGAAGAAGAAGAAGAAGAAGCAGAAGAAGAGAGGAATACTGCGCTTTTCCAGCTAGGATAATATTGAGATGGGGGCAAGATTAAAATCAATCTGATGATACTTGGTTTTTGCGAAAGAGCTCCTTGCTACACAGGATCACTCTTGTGGTGTTGGAAGTACAGTACAGTATATTACAGCGCCGCCACGGTCTGGGTGGGTGCATTGAAACGTCCCGGCCGTTGGGAGGTCATACGACTGCTTGGTTGGACACGATGCTATGATCAATTTATAGATATATGGTGTTTTGTAGTTGCAAGGTATCAGAATAGAGTCCCTTTTCGGTTTCTTCTAATCAAAGGGACGCTGCATTAATGAAGCATAGGGAATGTTGGTAGGTAAGTTAGGAGACGGAGGACACCTAGGTAAGACTATGATCCCGTTCCCCTAAAAGCCTGAAGCACGACCGGAGAATTTTCCCACAAGGAATTCGAAATAGAACCGCCTCCTACCGCAAATCCGTGAGAATAGCAAAGGCTGGCGACGCACGAGAAAGCGGAAGGGGGCACACCTGTGTGACCTACACTAGGATTTTGACAGCGGGAAATTCCTTTGGCGTCCACCACTAGTTGCCGGCTGGGCGTGGCACCACGAGACGGGAAATTAATTTGTTCATGCAAGGACGCGCGCAAGAAAAGGGACTCATCGATTGTTGTTCAGCGACTGTGGCGGAAAGAAGCAACTTGTTGTGTAGGAGTTTGAGTGGATTGGATTGAACGAACAAATGGTAGCATCAACTGAACTGAGCTAATCATCATGACATTAAACATGTGAATTGATGTATGCAGCATTGTGACGGGCTTCATGGGAGACTTGTAGGCTTTGCGGGAAAAAATGGCGGCTTTGGCCGGGGTTATGAAAAGCATCGCCAGAATGAAATTGGGACGGTTGTCGATTGACATAATGTGAGCTACAGCTTGAAGCCGAATCTTTACTTCTAGCTGAAGGTAGTTCACAGCTTTGAGCCAGGGTAACCTGAAGAGGGTATCGAGCTAATAGTGCTGGCGAGTGAGAAGGTGAAACTTCAGAAAAGGATGACTTGAGCAAAACCGAAACATGTATTAATATATCCAGACGTGGTTCTTACTCCATGTTAGTTGCGCCCTCGACCTTGCCCACTACATTGTAGCGCTTGGAGAAGAAGGTGATCCAGTCGTTAAGCGTCGACTTGTCCTTGTCATCAAGATCTTGCCAGTCTGGCCTGACATCCTCGGCCTTGGTCGAAGTCTTGCCGAGAGCGCGCGAGGCGTCCTTGCCAGCGAATACTAGAGCATGACAGGTGTTAGCGATGAGTGAGCAATGATATCGTTTGACTTTGCTTTCGCCGTGGAAGGTATGTTTTAACCGGCGTGACTTGTAGACAAAAAGAGATATGTCGTGATGAGGTGGTACCGAGATTTCAAAAGGGGGGCGCAAGAAGATTGGATGTAAAAGAAATACCGTGATAAGAGCCCCCAGGCTGGTACGCTTTGTTGCCCGTTACGTCGTAGACGATACCCTTGATGGCAACGTAACACTTTCCACCATCAGCACCTGAGGTAAAGAGTGTTGTCAGTGTCATTGTCTGAGAAAGAATAAAAAGTGAAGAGAACCTCTACGGCCGGGTGGATGAGTGAGGTCTTACTTACCGTTCGCCTTGGCCAACTCCTCAACGGAAATAGGGTCGTCCTTAGGAGGGTTCAACTGAACAGGAACCTTGGGCTCAAACTTTCCGGACATTGTGAGGATAATATGGTAAAATCTTTCGTTGTTACTGGATTTTGTCGTCAGTGACATGTATCGTAAAAACCATTCATTGCTCACGCAGTCGTTTCAAAATGGAAAGAGGACCAGTCAACCGGAAGGCATCATCGGTGATAAGCCCATCCACACCTCATGAACGGCAAATCGCAATTACCCTGAGCTGGAAGTTCAAGTGAACATACCTGTGAAGAAATGGCAAGAGCTTGACGATTGTGTACTAAAACGCTGAACGGTGTTGATTCTTGGAAAGAGCAATCTGAATCTCAGTCGCACGCAATTCTTGGTGACGGCGTCAACTGAACTCGGCCACAAGCGCCAAGCTTGGAACGCCGCTGGCGGACCGGGGGGTTCTTAAACCTCGGAACGGCAACGGCAGGAACAAGCGGACAGGCAGGGACAGGGGTTGGAAGGAGATGACTTGCAGTTGGCGACGGCTGTTGGAGACCTAAGGGTGGACCCCCAGAGTCTCCCCATGCTACCACACTGCGGGGGAAAGTCCACAGCAGTCCGCCAGGTCGCCAAGCACTCAAGCAGGGCATGGAATGAGCTCCCAGAGCTTCAAACGACATCCATGCATCTTTTTCAACGTCACCTCGAAAAAGACCACGTCCAACATCTCGACCAATTTGCGCATGAGGAATTTGAATTGCTCTAAGCGTCTTTGAGATTTCTTCTGGTCGCTATCTTGTACTTTGGCTAATGCTTTAATTGACATTCCTCGTCTCCCATTTGCATATCGCTGCTCCAGTCAGCGCCCAGGAAGGAACTTGAGGACAACCCACTGCCCGTCCAGTCCCTGTCACAGCACGCCTCCCGTCTCTACCTTTGAGGACCGCAGCCATGTCCCTCGCACGTCTTTCTGCTTCTGGATCCCTTCGCGGCTCACCATCTGGATCCCCTCTTCTCCTGCGTCTTGAGCTCATCAGGCACGGCCAAATACACAATGCTCGCTCTCTCGTCGCCCATCGCTCCATGACTTCTCCACGATGTCGCTCCCTTCAAACAACATCGAGGACGTTGGTAGACAAGAACAACACCAACAAGAAGTTCTCGCCTCAACCCCAGCCCGTTCCCCTTTCGCAGATCCCTCGTCTCATACTTGGGGCTGCTGTGGAAAACCTCCGTGGTCTCAAGAGGAATTTCCGAAATGGTACCTTCAAGACTATGCTTCGTCAGAACCCCGAAGAGCTGGTCTTTGCTCTGGTCTTGTAAGAATATGCATGAGCCAATTCCTGTCCTCTTCAAGATGCTAATCGTTATCCAGGCTTGCTGCACTTGCTGTTGTCATGGTGTACATCATTCGGGTTTACTTCACCTACTTCTACTCAGAGCAGTTCACCAAATACCCCCCTCCCATTGCAAAAGCTCTGCGCCGGGCATTGTACTACAGCAACTACAATCCCGACCAGCAGATGGCTCTCAAGTACTGGAAGCAGGCTCTTGAGCTGTGTGATGAACTCCACCTCGATACCTTCTCTGACGAAGTCATGGGCATCAAGATCGAGCTTGCGGCTTGGCTCGAGAAGATTGGGAGCTACGACAACGCAGTCAAGGTGCTGGAAAATCTCTCGGGCGACTGCAAGCGCTGGGTTGACCTTATGGAGAAGAGCGTCAAGGAAGGAGGAAAGATCCCGCCATCGCTACTACCTCCTGTGGTGCCCCAGGATCCAACTGGCCAGCCTGCCACCGCTGAAGAGCCCAAGCAGCAGGAAACTCCCGAGACCATCTGGGGCAGGCGGACTCGCATTCTTGGTAAGGCTGTTGGAATCAATGTCAAGCTTGCCAACCTCTACTCCTTCTACCTCGCTAAGCCCGAGGAGGCCCACGAACGCCTGATCTGGGCCGTCGAAACCGCTCTCAACGAGCTTCGTAGACGAACTGTCGAGGGCCTCAAGGAGGGAGAAGGCAGGTGGATGAGTTCAGAGGAAATTGGCGGTGCCTTGGAATGTGAGTGTTCTCAGTTTTCTTGCCTCGTTTCACACTCTCAACCTGTCCACAACCCGCTAATTTTGAATATTGCAGCTTTGGGACATAGCTACGAGGCCAAGTCGCAATTCCACCTGGCTCTGCCGCTCTTCTTCCAAGCCCTTCGGTTGTCTCAACACCAATGCCACAGCGCTACTATCAGTAAGTTTCCATCACGCATTATCCTCGGTGGCGGATATTTGCGCACAACTAAGCTGACAATTTCCTTCAGTGAACAACATTGCCGCTTGCTTTGCGCAGCACCCTATAATGCCTGCTGGTCAAAGCCAAGTGGATACCCTGATGGGTGAAGAAGTGGCTTCCGCAACACCAGCCCAGAAAAGAACTGCGTATCTCGAGGCAGCAAAGCGCTGGGCAAAGAACGCTCGACAACACGCCAATGAGCCAAAGGGTGATGATCGGACCCCCGAATGCGACCAGGCTTGCGCTACCTCATTGTGCAACCTGGCCAGCATTGCCCGTCTGACCGGAAATGTCACTGAGGCTCGTCGTCTGTTCGAAAAAGCCATTGAGATGAGCAGGAGCCTCGAGTTTGAAGAGGGCGTGACCCAAGCCGAGGACGGCTTGCGGGCGCTGTCGACGTCGTCGTAGTGGAGTCCTGGATTCAATGTGCCACTGTTCAACCGCAAAAGAGGATCAGCGTCTTCACCAGCTCATTGATGTCAGGGAACCTGCATCGCAGACGCTGCCGCCCTGGTATTCCACGGAGATACGCACCGCACCACAGTCCACTGGCACATGCACCCACCTTCAGCTAGGATAGTTGGATCCGAATCAAAATCCTGAAATATGCGATCATGGCGTATTCGTTATGTCGCGTTCAAAACCTTCCTGTCATCAAGGATCAGGTTTTCGTGGTGCTGGCGTAGGCGCGTCGGATCTCCATCTCAAGACTGTATAAGGGGAAGATTCTTGGCAACGCTATCCTCTATCACCAGCCAAAAATCCAAGTTATTTTTTCGATGCGCCGTTCCTCGAACTCGACAATTGTTAGCTTCACCGCTATGTTCCAAGGCATCAGCCAGTTTACATGTTGGGTTGCGAGTAGGGTAGGATCAGTGGCGTCCTCCGGATACAGCCCTCCAATGGTGGGAAACTCAATGGAATACAAACTAGCACACATAGGGTGCGCATGCCGACGGCTCGAGCGTCTGACCCTAGTGTCACTCACCTATGTACCAGTTGACGAAATCGGAAAAGGCAAATCATCAGACGCTTCCATTTTGTGTCTCTCGGAGTTGTTCGGTGATCAGATATTTTCAGGACGATTCGTGAAACTGATGGATGCCTCAGAAAATTCGCCATGATATTTCAGCGCTATTCGATGTTGAAGTTCTCGTTGTGGCCTGCTTTTACCGAGCCATTTTCGTCTAGGGCCGCACCGTCACAAGCTCTGATCGTATTTGGCTTTTCGAGGTGCCTAGAGCAGCCCGCATGATGTGGATATGTGCGACATCGACAGCCTTGCCAGCCCCCCGCGGAATCACTCCCAAATATCCGCCTGCCGGTGGTTCTCTTGTTTTTTTCCTTGAATGGACAGACATCTACACTCCTCCCGAAGTGCTGGTCACATCTCCTCCAATGCAACGACTGTCTCACCCGGGCCCAACAGCGACAACTCCTTGAAAGGATTACAGTCACGTGAAGTGCCCGAAAAGATAGGTTGTCATCACTCGTTCATCATCGAGCTTGAATTACGCAATTAAAGGATATACCCCCAGCGCTGCGGCAGGCTTGCTTCCAGAAAGGAACTTTTGTGGTATATGGCCAGATAAAGAGCCATAATTCACATCCAGATACTCGGCTGACCGAGTATTCTTTGATGCAGTTGGATCACGGCATGCTCATCTTTCACTTAAGGTGAAGACCAAGACTCTAAGTGGTCCTCTCGCTACAAGTCTGGCGTTTCCCGGCCCTTATCAGCATTTGAACCTTATTGTGATCTATCATAGGGGTTGTACGTCAAGGTTCCTTCTCATCTTGAAGCCACATGCTGCCGCGCCAAACATCCGGGATGCTGAAGCCACTCTTTCTCATCGTCAAGCATCAGGTCTCAAGTACGACAGATAAAGTTTAGGCAGTCGCTTTTCTTCCTGGTCAAGTGGTTCAACAGGGCACTCCGATGTGGAGCTTCTTCAACGAACAGATCATGTACCTTGCACTAGATGTACAGACATCACCGTATCCTCCATCAGTACGTTCCTCGCTTAGCAGCCATCGTCATGTCCAATCGTCACCTCGCTTACATCCACCATTGTGCGCTGTGTAACGTTTTACTTGGATTCAAAGACATAGCTCAAAGACGCCACGATACTCGAGAAGCGCACTTGAGTAAGGAAGTAAGCTACTGTGATACTCACGATACCCCTTCTCAACACGCTTCAACCGGACCAACATCCAATCATACTGTACTTGGGCGGAAGAGCAAGCAACTCCATGGCTAGTCCAACCCTGTATGTCGATCTCGTCGGCTTCAGACCTGGATGTTATTACCCTCTCTCATCTCTGAGCTTATTCCTTTCGAATGTGAAAAAAAATCCGGAGACATCCTCTCGGTAACTCAATACTTACAATGAATACTGTGCTACATACGTTCCATGGGCCACCCACGATTAATTCACCTGCAACCGCACGGCCACGACGGCCCAAGATCCGCACTTCGGCTGCCGCCGCAGAGAATGCGGATGACAGACACATGGCCGCCCACCTCTGCCGCAGTGTCATCCTTAAGTGCAATGGTGAGATGGAAAATCAAGGGATTGGCGAATAGAATTACAAAGAATGAGGCTGCCTGAGATGGGGTTATCGGTGGCTCTTGGGGGGCGTCCATCCCATGCTCGTGGCGTGTCCGGGGCTAGATTTTCCTGTCTCGAAACCCATCGCCCACAGATATTGCATGCTGTCAGAAACGAAATGATACCCTTTAGTATCCCGCAGTGTTGTATCTAGGCCAGTTTTGGTTATCAAGCCGACTACACCTGGATCCTTTGGAGAAGCGAGAATACGAGACTGTTTGACGACTATGCAGATTTATTTCTGGAAATCCTCTGGGTCAGCAAGGGACGTGACCAGATACCCTAGACTGGGCAATGACAACCGACGGCTCGTTTTCGCCCAAACTACCATCCGGTAATACTATTGCTATGTGCAACCGGGACGTACCAAAGATTCTCACTTATCATTGGATCACTTCGGGATGAGAAGACGGTACGGAATTGCCGTTTGACGCACTGGTCATTGGTGATCACACGCATTCATCACGCAGAGAGGCACAGGAAACGTTACCGCTTTTCCTTAACCTGACCTTCTAGCTCTGTCTTCAACGCATCTGACAAGCATCGCTGCTGTAGGGCTGAAGCTGTGGGGGAACTGGTGCCACGACAATATCCTAAGCAAGATTTCCTCGACCAAAGATGTCTACCGTCACCAAGACACATCTGCATCGGCCCAGACCCATGATAATTGGCTTTGTCACAGTTCTGTTCAAGTTCCAAGATCGGCTCATCATACAGACGTTGACGGTCTTCCTTTTTGAGCATGAAAGTAGCGAGAAGCCCAGCTATCTGGTGCTAGATCATGGAGGCGATGAAGCCGAGAACACCTCGGGGTCGAGGCGAGAGCTCCCATCGATCCACGTGTGGAATCGGGAAATCGTACCTACAGCGAACTACAGTGAGGTCCATCGTCTAAGAGCACCACCGTGCTTCACCTAGAGAAGTTACCCAATGGTTTCACACCATTTCCACAGTGTCCGTACTTGCCTCATTAGATGCAACCTCCGCCACCTATAGTGTTCGGGCTTGGCATAAAGCCCAACGAATGGTTCACTAATGGCACCGTTTGCGCTTGCATCGTTGAAGTCCGGCCTTACCTCATTCCAGTCAAGTCAAATTGGGGGTCCTTGGTTGAAGGAAGAATTCAGTTGCCTAGGGTTCCGCACCCATCCAGCGACGTGAGCGTGTGGTGGTACAGCAGAGAGAGGCTCAAACCGGCCGTCTTCGGCAGGGCCGTACGGCAGCGGAGCACATATTGGATATGATGATGTTGAACATCCATCCAGTGTTGATATTGACCCAGGATGACCGTCGACAACCGTTATATCTTCGAAGCTACCTCTCAAAGTCACACCTTAGCTTCCTGATTAGGCAAAGGAGACGCTCAACACTTGTCAAACTTCGCTTATGATACCTTGCACTTCTTGGAGTCTTGGGTTGGGCAAGCTGGCCACCCCAAGCCAGACGCCTGTACACTGCTTACTGTTAAACTTGAAGCTCATTCTGTACCAAAAGCAAACTTCCATGGCACTTGAGAGTTCTTTTTACACCAGAAGCGTCTCCCGCAGTGGTGTAGATGCGAGTTCCCTACATACACCCCTGTCAGCTCTCTTCACTATTGGCGTTACACGCAAAAGTTACCCACCTGCATTATGACATCGAGATGTATACACCGAATTATCTCCATCGTGGACCGAAATGCACACAGTTGAGGCCATAAATTTGGGCTAAATTGTGGACTTCTTCATTAGGCGCTGCTTAAAAGACAGTCTTCTACGGTTTTCGGGGACTTCGTAGGATGGCTGGACCACATTGTCTTGCCTTGCCGTCACTGCTTTCAACGGGCCATCCGCATTGGGTAATAAGCTGCCCGGCGCAGCTTGGAGTCAGGAAATACTCGTTCCTTCGGATTGGTATATAACAACGGGGCCCCTGGGAATTTCGAATGGCAAACGGGTCTTGAGGTCCTCACACACCAGGCGTCAAAATCCACTCTATATTCAGCAACGCTCGATACTTGACCCTCCTTCTATTTGTTCAACAAGATCGGGAGGCGTATCTCAAGCCTTTTCCATCGTAACATAGATGTCAAAATCTTCTCAACAATACCCTGTTTCGAGCCAACAGCATTGTGTAATGGAGGACTTCAACCACTTGGTCGATATGCCGACGTCTGAGAGTTCTTTTCGGTACATGTATGCGGAATCTGATCAATATCTGGACGTACACTCTTCGGGATCTCAAAGCTCAGACAGCTCACCAGTGAGTATATACAACGCCCGTGCGTGATTTTTGGGAGACTAACAGTGGCGTGGCAGTACGATGTGGCTTCCCTAATGGACCCCAACATATATGCCGGCACCTATCAAGGCCTGGAGTCGGAAGATGAGTCTTCGCAGCAACCGACCCATGAGCAGAAGCCCAAAAGAAAGCGAGAGAACCGGTATAAGAATGCACCCCCGTCTGTCCTGTCGGTATGTGATGGATCTTGTGTCGTTCCCGCTCAGATCAGTGTGAACAATGGCTGTCAGGACAAACTTAACCTAATGCCTATCAACAGCGTCGAAGAGCCCAAAATCGCGCTTCCCAAAGAGCTTATCGTGAACGCAAGGACCAACGGATAAAGGACCTCGAGCAGATGCTCAATGAGGCCAAACAACACAACAATGCCCTTGGCCAGGCTTACGCTGCGCTCCAGGCCGAATATGAGGCACTCAAAGCCTCTCAATTCAAGGATGTTGGTTATTCAACTGCCAGCAACCTGACTTACCAGAATCCGCCGCTACCAACAAGTATGGCAATGAGCAGCACTGGATTTGATCTGGATTTGTACGCGTACCATGAGTTGAGCGCCAACAGAGGGTATCATATGTTTGGAAAGACAGCCTAAGGGCATATATCACACTCACATATCCATCCCACTTTGACGGCTTGTTGGGCGTCTTTGACATGACCATGGTATTGGAGCTGAAAGTGATGACACGAAGCAAAGAGTAAGGAAAACCTTCGGGTAGCACCAAACGGAAGACGAAGGAACGAATCCGCCGTTGGGAGGTCCCGGTAATTCTACCGCGCACCGAACATATTGACGCCCACTGCTGCGGGGCTGGCCAAACGAGGAAATACAATCAGAACACACATCTATCCCGCACGCGAAAGTCCCCCCATCAGTCGATATTAGGAATACCCACCAAGAGGGAAGAAGTCCAGAAGCTCGGTTGTCTCAGCGCATTCTTGCTCTTCTCGTTGGTGGGATATCACGGTCACAGACAGCAACACACCCCTTCTACCTTTCATCACGTTCGGCCTCACGAAGTATCCTCCCCGGTCGAGAATCGGGAAGACTCTCGTGTCACAGTCGCTATGATAACTGATTTCGGTATAGATCTGCTTGCAGATCGGGTCGGATGGGTGTGGTATTGCGGCACATCACGGCAAATGCTACCCATCAGCACTTATCATCTACTGACTTTGCCTCTCTGCCCTGTCCGTTGGGAGCAGCGGGGGTAGTTCGGTGCCGCCGGGTATAGCCGGTACTGCCAAGGAAGGAAGGAAGTACCGGAAGAGTCCAGTGATCAAGGTACAGACCGATCTAAAATCTCAATGCTCCGACACTACAACAACCCGCCAGCAAAGAATCCAGCACAGCTGCGTTCAACATACACTACTGCTTGAACATCGGTAACCAAAGCGGCAATCAGGTAGCTCTCATCCATAGGTATGTTGCATGATAGCTGGCTTGGATTGGCTGACTTGTGGGAGTATCGAGTGGTCACTAGACCTACCGAATACGAACCATTCAGCCCCGACCCCGCCGTGCCGCTGGCCCCCTGATTCAGGCCCTGGATCCAACTTTATTCTAACCCCCTCAGCAACAACAGCGGCGGCAGAAGCAGCAGCAGCAGCGGTAACGAGAGTGACACCGGTTCACCAGCCAGCAAACGAAAGCAACGGGAGTAAAAGTCGCGGGCATTCCTCACATCAGCCCATTACACACACATTCACCCCCTTGCCCACAGATACAGCAACTAAACACCCCATCCCTCGACAACACCGAGCCGAGTCCGTACCGAGAAAACGGATTTTTGGAAGAAGAGGGTATCGAGATTGGTGGTAGTCTCTGACTCACTGGTTCTCCCTTTCTGAACCGACTGACTGACGTCTCGCTACCGTTCCGTCCATGTGGGTAGCATGCAAAAAGACGGCACGGACTTGCTCGTTGGGTCGCCGACCTTTTTTTCTTCTTTGACACATCCCTGAGACCCATCTCCTTTTCCAAGGTACCCTCGTCTAGCACCGGAAATGATATTACATGACATGACACAAGACGATTGAAGGATTGATTGATTGATGAAGGTTTAATGGAACAAACACGCGGGTTGGCCTTTGGTTCTCATTGCATACATGGACCTGAGATCTATGTTTGGTATGAAAGGGCAAAAAATACATGGTGGGAGGCTGGCTGGCTGTCTGTCCTTGGGTTTCTTTGCAGGGTCTATCTGGTTGAGTCTCGTTATTGAGGGGTTTGGAGCGTGATAATGTTCGTTTATATTTTTGGCTTTGGCTTATGGTTGTAGCTAGCAGTGGACACCAGATATGAGATACGACGATGTGAGTGAGCGAACTCAAGTTTTTTCACCAAACTCGTGTGTGTGAATATTGCGAGCTGACCTCGTCGCCCAGCGTAGAACCAAAAAGACTCGAGTTTCCACACTCGACCTTGAACATTGTACACTCAAAAATGTTTCTGTTTCCCATTGTATCCCTATGTACTCGACTGACGTCGAAATTCAACAATAGCTTCCCTTCCCGAGTAAGTGCCACATAAAATCCCGAGATCAGAGACGCTAGTAAGACAGCAATGACTTCCCAGCAATGATAAATCAAGCTTTAAACTCAACACTGGGCCTGGATCACCCATTTCTCATTCCCATATCGGTAATATGCGATCCTCCTATTTTTTTTTTCCACGAAATTAGAAGCTGAAACCCGTAAGCGACAACATGTCACGAGGTTCGTTTGGCCAGCTCTCACTCCCCTTCTCAGAGAACGCGTGTCTAACAAACTCCCCATTCTTTCGCAACTCGACCAACATCATCAGGCGAGGGTCTTGAGCAACCAACGATGGCGGCTGACAATAATTGTCGCGGTTAAACCACTGATGCCTCAACTCGTCCCTCGGTATCTTCGTCTGCTCGTCAATCCAAACCGTGATGCCCCAAGCTTGACGAAGACGTCGGGTTCGCCTGGAAGTAAGTAAACATGTTAGCATCTCTGGTAAAGACCTTGCCTACAATGACACCAAGTCCCGAGGAACATACACTTGTACGAGCCGGCGGTCCCTTACACCCCGGAAAACTGCTCATCTTCTCGCTCTATCTCCAGCATAATCTCCAACAACGACTCAACATCACCCTGAACTTTTAGCAGTCTCTTGTCTCTGCTTTTGTCATTCACCAAGACGCGGCCGTACTGCGCCGAGATAGCGAGGTAAACCTCTTCTTTGATATGTAGTCTGTTCAAGTCCTCGGCAATGGTGTTGTACAGGTCGCATGCGACGTCGATGTTGGCTGAGTGCCTTCTAAAAAATTGCATGAGAAAGTGGTCTGCTACCTGATTGACCTGGTTCATGTTGTAGAGGGTCGTGACGCTTCTGGGCAGAAGCTTTGTGAGGCGAAGGAGGGCCTCAGCGCTGTAGGGAATATCGGTGGCATGGTCTTTGGAGGTTGGTGTCAGCTTGATTTCACCTTGTGTGTATGGGCGTGTTGAGGGGTGACACTGTGGGATTTGATGGTGAGAGATACCTGCGATAATAACGGAGAGTGTCCTGCGAGCGGAGTCTAAAGCGACGACGCCGGTAGACGGCGGCTCCCAGGTAGGTGAGGCCATGATGATGAAGGTGTGATGTGTATTTTGCAACCTCTCGTGGCTCACGAAGATAGCTGGTGATGAAGTTCGTGATGGAGTCTTGGGTTTGGATCTTGTTTAGGGCATCAAGCAGAGACCCGAAGCAGAGATCAAGAATGAAATGAAGGGAAGGGATTCGCGGACTGGAAAACCTCAAGACGAAGTAGACACGCGAAAACATCGGTAAGGTAAAGCATCAGGGTTCTGCCATCAACCGCCATGTTTGTCAGTCGGGCGGAGATAGAAGATGAGATGAAAGAACGAATTTGATAACGAGATGGGAACCAGCATGAACTAGTCTGCCTTGGATACAAGAATGACCAATTCCTATCAGTCTGCTGGCGAAGAGAAGAAGCACAACCGCAACAAAAGCACACTTGAGCCCAGATTGAGAGGGAGTCAAAGTTGCCGTCAGGAGGCATCATGGTTTTTACTCATGTGTAAGTAGGTAGGAAATAGAAGAGAATTTTGTTTATGTTAGGGGTGAAAACTGTTGTAATGACGTTGAATCTGCAGTGTCCATTACGAGATTTCGGTTCTTCGGAGCAAACCTGGGCCGTGAAGCGTCTTGTCTCCTCTGCTCTTTCCATTCTGCGAATTTCACCCAACGCATCTCGCTCCTTCTCGAAAGTATCATTCCTTGATTGCCGGAAATTTCCAATGCGAGATCCCTTCCCAAACCCGAAAAAAAAGAAAAAAGAAAAAAAAAAAAAAAAAAAAAAACAGAAAAAGGAAGACAAAAAGACTCTGACAACCCCGTGTCCCAATGTCGTCCAAAATATTCCTCCCACTCGGCGTGAAAACAAGACCGCAGAGGGAGAGCCAGGGCAAGAATCGTGAAGCTGGGGGCCGTTGGTGGCAGAGGAGATGCCTTGACCCCGCGCGTCCTCAATTGGACAGACGGAAAAGAAACACTTCAGCCGCGCCTCAGTTAGTGCATACGCTCCCCGGTCAAACTATCGCCATTAACAGCCCGATGTGACCTCCATTCAGCTTACCTCTCGACTCAGCTCAATCGCGACAACATTGATATCACCGCTTCTCCTACCTTGGCGCGTCCGCCGGCGCGACCATGCCATCGAGACTTCGCGCGCATTGATCTCCTTTGCCTTTCGCCAAGGCAAGCGTCAGCTGTTTAACTTCTGTCTTTACGTTCAAAACAAGCCTGATTGGGCTGCCATCATTCACTCAACTGACACTCTTTAGTGCCCTCGGCCTACTTCAAGATGGCAGCGCTTCCGGAGAACTGGGAGATGGACTATGATGGAGCCATTAGTCGCTGGATATATCGATTTAAGCCTACAGGGCTCGTTCAATACACCTTTCCCAAACCAGGCGATGAGTTCCCCGAGTTTGTTGGCGATTTCGGCGGGCCTATGCCACCCGAGGACAAATTTATGAGCCAAAAACTCAAGAAGGGGCGTGCTACAAGCGAGTCACTGCTTAGTACTCCTCCCTTTAACATCAGCACAACTGCGGCTTCAACAGACTTCTCTGGGCCCAGTTACAATGATCCGCCGCCATGGTTCCAGCCAGACGGGTTCATGTTCATGGGTCCTGGAGCGTACAATGACACCAGTCCGGAGCAAGATGAAGACGAGACCGCGTTACCGGTGACTGACCCCACAACACCAGAAGCAAAAGCGACCAAGCCGTCAACTAGACCATACATCTCTCCTGTAACGAGTACAGAAACCACTCCTCTGGTTGTCTATAGCCAACCTACCGCTGGGACGACCCATGAACAGACTACGCCAGCGAAAGTTGACGCTGCCCCGGTTGCAGAGAAATCAACGTTTTCCCCGGGGATTCCTATGTTGGATGGTCGTCCGATAAACCAAGCTTTTCCTCTTGGTTTCGTGGCAGAGTTATACGGCGAGTCGACCGCGAGGACTCGTGAAGAACATCCTGCCGCAGCGGAACTACCAGGTCATGAGGCGCCCATCCGGAAGCTACAGTTGGCGAATGCCGATCGGCATGCGCCCGTCGAGCTATCATCCGACAACACTAGCGTGAAGGCCACTTCTGGCGAACAATCAGAAAAAGACTCCAACTCTCAAAAGGCGGATCCAGGATCAAGACCGAATCTCGATCGGAGGACGGAGTCAAGTCCCTTCATCTTGGGCGCCAATTTTGCCTCCCCTCCCTCAAATATTGCGCCTGCACACGCACGCAGATATTCCATACAAGGACAAGTGCCGTCTCGGGTTGAGGTGCCAGCTGTATCGTCAGCTAACGCGACACCGGGACAGATAATTTTAGATAAAGAACCACACAAAACAGAGTTCGAAACAGAGTCTGAGACCAACTCAAAAGCCAAGGAACAGCCGGATAAGTTGGAGACCCAACAGGTACCGTCCATTCTCCAGCCCGCCCGCGGACGCCCAATGTCTTTACAGAGTCCTTCTTGTGGCCAGCAAGCCTCTTCAACTACAAAAACTTTTGTTCAAAGGCCGCTGTACGACCTCCCCGAGTTAGACAATCAGACAGTGAAGCCTCTACATGGCCATCAATCTATGATTCTTATCAGCAAAAAGGATGAGCTGGATACCCCGCCTGCATTCACGAGGACAAATACTCTGCCTGCAGACCTGCCTTCACTGCCTTTTATGGGGAACGGATTTTCGACAAAGACTGAGATGTCTTTGCTAACCCCAAAGCCACAGGACCAGCAACCTCCACCACCACCAGCTCCAAGCGAGGAGGAACCGCAGATGGGGCCCAACTTTGCGTCGACAAGTAGACCGCATAGGGGAAGCTTAAGTGACTACGCGAACCCAGTTCTTCCTGGTATCGGGCAGTCAGTAAAGCCGTTGAACATCAGCCAAGCCCCTTCCCAGACTGAAGTTCAAGGAGTGGATCAGCCGTCTCTGGCAGCGAAAGATTGTGAAGAACAAACGGCTCCAATGTTGGCGCAGGAGTTGTCACGAGCAATTGCTGATTTCTCCGTTTCTCGTCAATATGAAGCGAAACCTACTACAGAGATGGGGATGTCTGATCACTGTGGCGTAACAGTACTTTGGTGTCAGGAGAGGATGCATCTACGCCATATGCCAAGCGAACAATCCACCGAAGCTTTGCCTGCCACTGTTATCTGGGATTCTTCTGTTCCTGAAGATGATTGGCATAAATCACCACACTCTCATTCTGGCTCGGGGCCTCCGCGACCTGAGAAGATTCCCATCGGCAATCTTCAGCCCGCATTCACTCCATACCGCCCTCCGGCGGTGGAACAAACCTTCCGCAGAAAACCTGTGGCCGAGTCTCAGGGGCCCGCCGGAATACCAATCTCGAAAATGGGGAGTGGGCAACAAGGCGGTCCCTTTACTCCATTGGGTCACTTTCAACAACAAGGAACCCCAGAACCTTACGTATTGCCCCATTCCTACAACCAACAGCTTCCATCGTTCAGTGTTGGAGTCCTGCCACAACCAAGCCTAAGTAATTCGGGCCTTCCGCAACCCTTTCCTCCACCACGACAAATTCCCAGCCCAATGTCGGAAGCACGGGCATCCACATGGCCGGAACAAGAATCAATAGCTCCCTTTGCAGGCCAAATGGATGGTTTGGCGTCAAAAGCGCTTCCTCCCGTTCCTCCAAACATGCCCCAGGCTCGTGGATTATCTAGTGAAGCTTCAACACCTTTGGTGAAGGAAAAGCGAGGGTTACTTTCAAAGTTTAGGAGAACTGGTAACACGACCAGCTCCTCGAACAAGCTTCAAAAGTCAGTCGGAAATAGCTATCCCACAGCGAGCAATAACATTCCGCAGTCACAACCTCCTGTGTCTTCTCCACCACGGCAACTTCCACCACAGAATACTCAGGTACCATTTCAGGGCCCTCCTCCATCGCACCCTGATCAAACACAAGTGCAAGGATATCCATGGCTCACAAATCCACTTGACGCGTGGTCAGCGTCTGGCCATGACCCCCGTGCTTTCACCCCGACAGTCCAACTCGGAGGTCCTCAATACGAGCCTGAGTCTACTTACTACCAGCAGCAATGGCATCATCATCAGGTGCAGCAGCAACAGCAACAGCAACAGCAGGTGAACGACAGAAGGGAGAGCGAAGTGTCCAACCTGACCGGCACTTCATCACCTTCACCAGTCCCCAGCAACGCGGACACGGCATCTATTGCAGACAGTTGCAGAGTGTCGATCATCAGCAGTCATCACACTCGTCCCGGAAGCGAGGGCGCTGCCAGTGTCGCCAGTATCGGCACCATTGGCAGGAACAGCGAAATCACTCCGCCGCCAAGCTTCAGCTGTCGCAACGGGCCTGGCTCGGGTAGATGGGGAAGCGTATCTGGAGCTGGTGGCGGCGGTGGTAAATATGATGGCTCGGGGTGGGGTGATTTTGGAGTATAATGAAAAATCTTCGGTCAGTCCTTTGGGAATGGAATTGATAATGGCAACCAGCTCATTTTCCTATCACGACGCAGCCAGTTGAGACAGACGAGCCAAGCATGGCGTTGGACATGTGTTCCTGCATACTTCCCGTCCAGCAACAACTACACTAACATCTGACAACTGACATCGGCACGTCCCTCCATCCCGTCTACCGTCCCGTTCTATACCGTCAATCGGCTCCCGTCCGCTAGGCCCAAAAGTTTCCGAGGCAATTCAGACATTAGGGGTCCAGGCGCGTGCCAGGGTGTGAGATAAAGATACCTATCTCGGGAACCGGGCTGCCGGGGGGGGCGGAGGATCGGCAAGGAACAGTGGAACCTCAGTGGGTTTGTAGGGGCCTCTTATGGGGCCAAATAGGTGCCTTACAGGGACCGCGCGCAGAATGGTGCTGTTGGGTGACGTCATAGCACATTCTGTTGGTCTTGTCTCGCCAACCACGGACGACCGATCAACGATTGAATGCCACTTGCGAATCGATAATTCGAAAAATAGAGTGAAGGATGGGGATTAGGAACGGAGTGACGGATGCCGGTGGCTTTCGTTGTTTTGATTAAAGACTTAGTCAGGGTTCTTGGCTTCATTTTAAGATGCAGGAGATACTGGAATGGGAAACAGGAACGGTGGAGGTTCAGCAGCATCAGGGCATCTTCTTCACATGGAAGTTGCTCCTTCACTTCATTCCAAAGCTGAACGGAAGAGGATGCCGCCGATATGTCGCTTCCTTGTCAACACAATGGACACAAACAACACGCATCTCACCGCCGAAAAAGGGAAAAAGCAACCACCGCTCATCTCCCCCTCCACCCCCGCCCTACCGGCTTACTAACAAGGGAAAACGGCCGGACTCTTGTGAAAGGCCGTCAAGGCAAGCCGTCCGGGCCCCCGCTGCTATCTGACTGTTTCGTCTGCAGCTATCCACGGTAGCCACGGGCGGCCATTCATGCCGTCCCTGCCGTTCAACCTGTCTCAACCGGCAACGCGAAACACGTCTCCCACACTTTACTTTCTTATCGCTCCTCGCTGACTTGTTGTTGCCCGCGCTTGGCCGGTGGGTCGCGCCTTTGTGCCAACCCGCCGATCTATCTCCACTCCCCCGGGATTCCGAACGCTTTCGTCAACACCCAAGCAAGTCAACCTCCTCATCTCGGTCATGGATTCACGGGTCCCCGGTCCCGATCCCAAGGCCCAGGGCCCCCCCCCCCCCTACCTACGCAACGCCAACCCCCCACACGTGTCAAGGTGGCTCTAGTGGCACACGAAATGGATTTTCAAAGGGTTCTTGGATCTTGACAGTGGCGTCTTGGATCTTGCCGGTTTCCCATCTTACACGGATGCCCTTTTTGAGAGTTCAGGGTCCGCTAATTTCTTTTTATTTTTTTATTTTTTTGCGGCTTTCCTGTCACGGGTAGCCCCCCTTTCTTCCTCCCGTCTGTTTGATATCTACGCCCGGGCCCCGTGCCCCTTCAATGTTTGACAATGCCCCCGTCTGAAGACTGTCCATCGCCCTCCCGTAGGATGTCGCAAGCGAATCCTCCACCGACCTTGCACGTCCGGGTGCCGTCCCAAGCTGCAACTCCAATGGACAGCGATGGAGATTATTATAAAAGCCCCAACGGCATCGACCACTCCCATCTTGCCGTTCCCGATTCTGGCGCCCTCAGCCCTGCCTCTTCTGGCCATGGCGACAGGGAGGCAGCCAACAGGCTAAACGACGATCTCGAGCTGATGCGTGCTGAGCGCATGGTGTCCAGGCAAGCACGGGAAGACGAATCGAGGCGGTCCAGATCCAGGAACAGGAGCACTGAGAACCTTGAGGACGTCTTTGATACAGTTGCCGGTGCCGGTGCAACGCCTACCCCTGCCGTTACTACGGTAGCAAAAACGACATGGCTTACCCGGACGTGGGCTCGACTGAGAAAATTCCCACGAGTGCTGCGCTACGTCGTCTACTCGATCCCTCCAGCCATTCTTATCCTCATCCCCATCTTCCTGGATATTTTCGCATACAACAGGCACCAGGATGTCGGTGAAGACCGAGGAGTCAGGCTCCTCTGGTTCGGCATCTGGTTGGAAGTTGTTTGGCTCAGTCTATGGGGAACAAGAGTCATCACCTGTGCCATGCCCTATGTGGTAGCATGGATCGCCGACACGTTGGGGTCCAGCAACCATAAGAAGTGGAGGGACATCGGACGTCAGCTCGAGTTCCCTACCGCCTGTTTTATCTGGTTGCTCGTTGTTGTGGTGACCTACAATCCGATCCTCAAGGACCACCGAATCGATCAGGGCGAAGATGCCCGTGACAAGGATTCTGCCTGGATCTCCATCGTTTACAAGATCATTCTCGCCTTCTTCATCCTCGCGACATTGAATTTTGCCGAGAAGATCTTGATCCAGTGGATTGCCTCCTCGTTTCACCGCCGGACTTATTCCCTTCGCATTCAGGAAAATGTCATGCAGGTCGAGTGTCTCGTCGCTCTGTACACATACGCCAAAACTTGTCTCGAGGCGCAGGATCCGGTCTGGAACCAAACCTCGGTTGAAGGCGATTCGCCCGGGATGCGTACCCCGATGAGAGCCATGAAGACGAATGCGCGGCAAGCTTGGAACAAGGTTGGAAACGCCGCCAACCGGTTTGCGGGCGACATCACAGGCAGGCGCATTCTGAAAGGAAACCATCCCCGCAAGGTCGTCATGGAGCTGCTTCGTTCGACCAACTCGAGTTACACCCTGGCGCGCGTCTTCTACCGTACTTTTGTCCGCCCTGGCAGAGACACCATTACACTGGAAGACATCCTGCCCGCTTTTCCCAACCAGGAGGAAGCCGAGGCCTGCTTTGCTATTTTCGACAAGGACTTCAACGGCGATATCTCCATGGAAGAATTGGAGATGGTCTGCAGCGAGATCCACCTGGAGAAGAAGGCCATTGCTGCGTCGTTGAAGGATCTTGATTCGGTCATCAAGAAACTTGACAAGGTCTTTATGTTCATCATTATCGTGATTGTCATCATCGTGTTTATCAGCATCATCTCCAACTCGGCTGCTGCTGCATTGACCTCGACGGGCACCGTTATTCTGGGTCTGTCTTGGTTGCTACAGGCAACAGCACAGGAGTTCCTTCAGGTATGTTTGTCCCAAGACAGCGAATCCGGTGCAAAGACGCTAACAGTGAACAGTCCATCCTCTTCGTCTTTGTCAAGCACCCCTTCGACGTCGGCGACCGTGTCACCATCTACGGTAACACCGGCTCCCTGATGCGCGGTGACGACTACTACGTCCTCGAAGTCTCACTCCTCTATACCGAATTCAAGAAAATGGAAGGCCACGTCGTGCAAGCGCCCAACTCGATCCTCAACACACTCTTCATCCTCAACCAGCGCCGCAGTCAAGGTCTGGCCGACCCCGTTAACCTCACCCTACGCTTCGGCACCACGGAAGCGCAGATCGAGGAGCTGAAAGCCCGCATGCTCGACTTCTGCATCAAGAACCAGCGCGACTACGCTCCGCGCATCATCTCGGAAGTGAGGACCATCGATGAGGTCTACTCCATCAACATGAACATCATCTTCTTCCACAAGAGCAACTTCCAAAACGAGCTGTTGAGGCTTACGAGGCACAACAAGTTCGCCGTCGAGCTGATGCACCAGATGGACGACATGGGCATCCAGGGCCCGCGCCTCATGGCGCCTGGTGGAAGGCAGAATATGCCTATGTATTGGTCTCAAGTTCCCGGCGGCGATTCTCAGCCTGGCCAACCCGGTCAAAACGGACCGCAACAATTCCAACAACCACCACTTCACCAATTCTCCCCACCACCTCCCTCCTCTTCCCCTTCTGATTTCCTGCGCAGGCGCCACCGCGCCGACAGCCGCGCAACGGTTGTGGAATCAGGCGTCGACTTCCAAGATGTGTACATGAATCGACGACCTGAACCGCTTGGGGTGCATGGCATCCATCGTTTGGCGTCGATCAGACAGCGTGACGAGGAGGAAGAGGAGTATGATCACGATGAGAAAGCGAGTCACCGCCACAACGACATGGCATCGGAACTAGATCAGAGGCTGGACAAGACGTCTAGTAGGGGCACTAGGGGAGATGATGTTAGCGCCGCTGGCAGACCTAGTCGCGATGGAAGCATGACTGCGTCTGTGAGGAGGGGGAGAGTGACGATGGGAAGTATGTTCGGACGGGGGAGGTCAAGAAGTGTGGTGGCAAATAGTCAGCCGCCGGGAGGGAATCAGGTTTGATGAGTGATGATCGATGAGGTAAATGATATGACGATGATACCACGGTTTACTAGAACCGAACCGTCTATGAATATAGGATAGGGGTTTTGATGGAAAGTAATGAATTAGGATTTGGGTGAGGATGATATGTTGAGGTTTTCTGTCGGATATGGATGACTACCTGCGATCATCAACGACATTAGAGTCTAGAGTTAGACAGATGCGAGCGAGAGGGCCAAGAGATGTATGGTAGATCCCGGGTGTTTTATACCTTTTTTTCTTGCTTTTTGCCAATGTGGCCAGTTCTAGATACACCATTTTAAGTTATGTTGAAACAATCTGGAAAAGATCGAGACCGTCACAACCATCCTTTTCTACATGCTCGAAGTGAACTAAGGGAGGTAACAAAAACAATTTGAGGTTACCAATATACAAGTAGGGCTGGGGGAAAACCCCCCGAAAAGTTACCCTCAACCTGAGTCAAATGCCTTGCGGTTGAGAACTCAAGGTGGGGGTCGCTTAGCCGTGGGGGGGGGGGGGGGGGGGGCGCTAAGCCTATATGGGCATCTCCCAATTTTTCCCTGACTGAACATTGGATGAACCGTTGTACACATCACCCCTGGAAAGTTCGTTAGCTCGGTACTTACATGGGATTTTAACAGGGGGATAACAAGGGGGGTAGCAGGGAGTAAAACTAGTAAAATATAGAAGGTAGTAAGGGGGGCTCTAGGTGATTTAGGCGATCCTTAGCCAGTAGAGAAGGTTTGTGTGTGTGTGCTCTGTTTACTCGTTCTCACTTTGAAATCAGGCAAATTCAGCCAATCAGAGCTCGTAGATAGACGTGTCCCGCCTTGCAACCCCCCCTGTGAAAGTATGTGGGGCAGGAACCACGCTAACAAACTTTTAAGGGTCAATATGTAGCATAGTCGCTCACCTTGGTCATTCACCCGTCCGGTGAACACACTCACCTTGTTCGCGTTGCTCACCTGTTTAACCACAGTTACAACTCGCAACTTCGGAACAAAATACAACAATCCGTTCCCTCACCACCGGCCGCATACTGGCTCGCCGTGTTCGCCTCCTTTTCCTGGCGCACTTTGTTCGGCACAACGAAGCTCTCCTTTCTCAACCAGCGATTATCGCTCTGAAATTCCCAACATGTCATTCCGTCCACGCCCACAACTCCTCAACCTCGGCGTCGTCGGCCGTCCGCATCTCGGGGCCCGGTGTCAGATAAACGCAAACGAGCTCGTCTTCTCACAGCTCATCCCAACTAAATCAACAACAAGGGCATCCACAAGAAAATCGCGCTTCTCAACCTCAACTACCTCAACGCCTCTATCCCACCACCACCACCCTCCCCGCTCTCACCAGTATCACCACCACTACCGACAACAGCAACAAACCCGCCACAATAGCACCCACTCCAACAACCCAAACCCTTCCAACCCCAAGAACTCCAAAGACTCCACCACCAACCCGAGCATCACCCGCCTCCTCTCCCGCCTCCCCCGCTTTCTCCACCCATACCTCTCCTCCCTCCGCTCCTCCCCTTCTTCTTTCGTGGTGGCCTTTCTGATCCTACACGAGATCACGGCTATCGTCCCTGGTCTAGGTTTCTTTTACCTTTTTCACTATTGCGGTGGTGATGGGGATGAAGAGGACAAGGACAAGGATAAGGACAAGGAGGGGGGAACGGCGTCATACGGCAAGAGGTTCGAAGAGTGGGTGATGGGGTGGATGATGGAGCTTGGATATTCGGAGGTGATGGTGAGGAAGATGGAGGGGTTTGAGAAGTGGTTTAAGAGGAAGGGGTATTTTGGGTTTGGAAAGGGGGAGGAAGGTGAGCGGGAGGCGGTAGTAGGGAAGGATGGGGATGATGTGGGTAAAGGAGGAGAAGAAGAAGAAGGAAAACAAAAAGAGCAGGTTTTGATGATGAAAAAGTGGCAGAGTGGTGGAGATGAAAAGTATAGAGTCTTGGTGGACGCGGCGCTGGCGTATGCGATTACCAAGGCGTTGTTGCCAGTGAGGATTATTGCGAGCGTACAGGCTACGCCGTGGTTTGCGGGCGTGTTGGGGAGGGTGAGGAGCGTTTTTGGTGGCGGGTTGAGGAAGTAGTATCAAACAGTACCTGAGATGATGGGGGGTTGGTTGAGGGACATCAGATGGTTTCTAGCTTCGGTGGGGGAGGGCGACCAGACAGCAAGCCAAAAGTTGGCGAGCGGGAACCATTCTATTAACAAGACACCTCGATCGATCAAACCAGGTTCACCTTTCACTACGACATCTGCTACTCATTAACATTAAGTTGCCTCTATCCTCCTCATTCTTCTGAGCAAGAACAATCTCACTCCCGTCTTCTCTAACAGATCCATTCCTCATCTCCAATTACCCGTGTCTATCAAGAATAGACCTTCAAGCCTTTCACTCCTAAGCCTCAACAACCCTGCTACAAACCACACTCTTCTTCTCCCCTTCCCCATCCGTCTTGCATCTCGCCAAAGTCCCACCCTGTCCAGCATCATAAATCTCCAACAACTTCAACTTGTCCTTCCCCAGCACATCCTCCCCCGTGAAATTCCCTCCCAACCACGTCGCAAACCCCATCTCACTAAACCTCACATCCGTGAAATTTCCCAACGCACTTGGCAGCTCCGGCCTCTCCTGCAACGGAAAATCTTCAAGAATCCAGCTCGCCTGCGCCGAGCACAAAGGCGGCATATCCTTCCAGATCAAACTACCCGTGGCAATCGGTATCTTGACTTTCCCATCCACCCCTTTAGGGCTCTGCGGCGGACCATAATTCTCCACCAACACCCCGCCGCCCGAGTTCCCGTGCGGTCCCGTGGTAACTGTAAACCGCAGCTCGTCACCGGGAGAAGCCTTGAAATCCAAAAACCCCCGGGCATGCTCAGCGGGATACCACTGCGCCCAGACATACGGAGTCTGTTGACCGCCTAGGGTGCCATCCCAAAAGATGTCGACTCCCGCACGCAGGGAGGCAGCCAGGGGGTTACAGGTCGCGTTGGCGATGGGATGGGTGAAGCTATCTGTGGCCGAAGCTCCGTCGATGCCAACCCAGAGCGAAGCCGAGTATTCCCCGACTGAGTTACCGGCTGTCGGACCCGAAATGGGCATGGAGATGGTGGGGATAATGAGGGAGCCCGTGACGGATTGGATCATGTCTTGATTTTGGTACGGGTGGTCGGGCGTAGCGGCCGGTGGGTGGTAGGGCAGGTAGGAGCCGGCGCGGAGGAATGAAGGTCTGTTATTGATGGTGGACGCGGCCTTGATGCGGCCTCTGGCGTTACCGACCACGTTGGCGGGTGGGCTGTGGAGGAGCCGGTGGTTGGGGGTGGTGTTAGAGGCCTCGGTTGAAACGGTGTCCCGCCGGAACTTGAAGGGAAGGGTGAAGGCCGAGGTTGTGGCGGCTGTGGCCGTTAGGGTGAGAAGAATTGATGGTTTCATGGTCGGTTTGTTGCGTCGTAGTGTTGTGTAGATGATTGTTGAAGTGAAGTATTGGTGTTGAGTTGATGAGTGAGTGAGTGAGTGATTGGCAACAAAAGGGAGAAAAGCCTCTGACTGAATCGACTTCCAGACCTTATGTAAGTGAAACTTGAACAAGGGGGCAGTCGAGTGTAGCTCCCTTGATATGTCGACCAGGGCTGATACGAAGTCGATGATTGCTCTTTCCTCGACGTTGCTATAAGAAGGAACCCTGAAATGCTCGTAATCGACAATTCCAAGGAAGTAGGGAGTAGCAATGGAAGTAGATAGAATGATCAAGTAAAACAATTATTCTCTGATCCTAGTTGCCATAACATTCGTACGGCACATGGGGAAGGAAGAAAGAAAGAAAGAAATTTGTAACAAACAGAGGAAGGTTACGAGGTTTGGGAAGGTGCAAGTAACGTCTGAGGATTATATGTAAGAAGCATCCAGCAGGCCGCTCACACAGCCTCACGATCCAATAAAGCCGTCCACTGGTGAACAATGATGGAAGACCCTGCAAGAAAAGGGACAACAATCGGAAATACGGCCGCCCACCCCACGGGGAGATTAACCCCCTTGTTGCTGTTGTTACCCCATCCATCCATCCATCCATCCATCCATCCGTCCCCAGTTTGATATTCTACCAACGGAGTAAAGTGTACTGTGCGCCGCGAGCCTGTCACCCCTCCTCGTGTGGTCGTATATACTTTGCCGTCCTGATGGTCCTACCTACCATAGTACTCCGAATCCCCCGTCCCAGAGAAGAGAAGAGAGAAAAGCAAACAAAGTGCGCGAATCACGCGTTGTCATTTCCACCACCACACTTCGTACGACTAGGGGGCGGGCAGCGGTGTTTGGCACATTGTATCACGGTACTACATACACCTCTGCTGTCCAAAGTTGGCTTTTACCCATTGCCCGGCGCCGGTTTGGATAGGAAGTAGGGCCTTTTGGATCGTGATACACTGTGAAACATGAAACGCACACACACACACACACAGAGAAAAGAATTTTGAGCCTGAATGGCTTGCCTGGCTGAGAGGCTCGGGAGCCATAGAAAGAGCTGAGGAAGAATTAAAATGCCCAGTAGTAGTTGGTTGTTCATGGAACGGTAGAAATGGTGATCATCAAAGAGGCTCGGTAATGAAATGCAGGGGCAAGGCACCAGAGGCACCAGAGAGAGGCACAGAGGGTAGGATTCCACCACCACCACCACCACCACCATCTAAATCTCACGCCACCGATCTGCATCGCTCAACGGACCAGTAAAGTATCCAAACCATCTTCTCGAAAGGACGCCTAGGCGAGCAACCTTCGAGGTTACCATTCATTGGGCGATACCAAGTTCTGCCACTTTTACCAGTGACGGCCCCCAACATTCATCGTGGCGCTGCGGCATCTGTCCTGTCTGTCATTTTACAGGAACACAGCTTAACAGCGCACCACCATTGAGACCACCAAAGAAGGCAGCCGACATGCACCGAAGCATTTCGTATTCAAGATCCAGGGCCTGCGAGCACCCGATTCGTTGAGGCGTGACCCTACCTTGAATGGAGAGCCCCATTTACGGAACTGAACTGTGCGTGTGTAACGGGATTCAACATGATCGGGAAATGCTGTTTGAAAGCCAACAGGCACAGTCACGCTGCTTGGTTAATGAAGACCTAAAAATAAACAAGAGCACTAGAAAACCGCAAGCATAGCCATGCTCATGGCCCGGAAGTACGAGCTGACTTCTCTTTCTCAATGTGCAGATATATTTTTGTATCTGTGAAAACCTGGCTTCGAAAATAAATTCGGCATTCAGACCGATACGGAATACAACGTCCAGCGAGCGGTGTAGTGTACATGAGACACGCGCAACGCCTCAGTCATTCAAAGCCTCCTCCTCTTTTTTTTCCTCCCCATGCCTCCTCCCGAGACCAGCTGTTTGGACTCCGCCCCATCTAGGCAAAGGAAACCTTCCAATCGGCTCCAATCCTCGCGCCAACCTTCTTGACGACTGCAAATGCGGCTCGGCCCTTTCCGGCGGGGGTGTACTCGAGCGTAGCAGTCCAGGTCTCGCCCTCCGACTCCACAGTGACCTGCTGCTTATCCCAAGACGCAGGGGCGCCGATGATGATGATCTTGTCAACGGTAACCTGGTGCATCTTCTTCATCCAGTCGCCCTCCTTGACCTTCTTGCGGTCCTCGCCGTCAACGGACGAGATGGTCTTGGCATCGCCGTCAAGGATGAACTTGCGGTAGATGTACTGGCCCTTCTCGAACTCGTAGGAGTCACCGTCATCGACATAGAGATCACCCTCGGCGGTCTTTCCGTCCTTGCCGACGGTCACGACAAGGGTGTAGTCATCCCACTTCATGAGAGTGCTGGACCGACGGGGCCGATCACGGCGGGCGAAGATGTGGCCACCCTGCATGAGGAGAGGGATCTTGCTGAGGGGTGCGTCAAGAGTTACCGTCTTACCCTTGCTAGAGGGGATGATGTCGTAAGTGAAGTAGTCGTAGTAAACCTCGTTATCAGGAATCCAGATGTCCACCGTCTCCTTGTCCTTCTGGGTAACAGGCTTGGCGAGTAAACCAGTGTTGCCGACAAAGAATTGATCGTCGATAGCAAAGCCAGCCTCCTCGTTGGGATGAGTGTAGAACATGGGCTTGATAACGGGCTCGTTGGTAAGGTAGGCCTGGCGGAAAGCGGTATACCAAGACGGGAGAAGGCTGTAGCGAAGGCGGAGAGCCGCAGCAATGATGGTGGTGTACGGTTCACCAGCAAGGTAAGGCTCGCGGCGGCGGGAGTCAATGTGGGCATGGGCACGGAAGAAGGGGTAGAAGGCACCGGCCTGATACCAGCGCGTCAACAGCTCCTTCTCGGGGTTTCCGAAGAAACCACCAACATCAGCGCCAGAAAAGGGGAAACCGGCAATGTTCTGGCTAAGAACCATGGGGATGGAGCCTTCCAGATGGTCCCATGCGGCCTGGTTGTCACCGGTCCACATAGCACCAAGGCGTTGAGAACCAGCAAAGAAGGAGCGGGTGAGCACGAAGGGACGACGGAATTCGCCCGCCTCGCGGGACTTGAGGGCTTCGAAAGTAGCGTTATGGAAGGTTAACCCGTTCAAGTTGTGGATGTCACGATGCTCCCAGTTACCATAGTGGAGGTTGTCCTTGGGCATCGTAGTCTCGGGGCCGTTGAACACCGAGGGCTCGTTCATGTCGTTCCAAATCCAGGTGTTCCTCATGGAACCCTCAAACCTGGCGTACTTGAAAAGAGTGGCCCACCACTTCCGGGCAGCGGCATTGAAGGCGTCGACCCAGTGGGACGAGCCGGGCCAGCACCAACCCTCAAAGATTTCGCCATCCTTGTTGTTCACAGCAAATTTCTGAGACTTGAGCTCCTCAGAAACCTTGTAGCCATCGACGTTCTTGATGTGGGGATCAATAATGGCAACCAGCTGACGTCCATGGCTTTCAAGCTGCTTGCCCATGCCGATGGGGTCAGCGAAGCTATGGCCATCCCAAGTGAAATACTTTTTGTCATCGGTATACTCGATATCGAGCCAAATGACATCGTAGGGAATACTAAACTTGTCCATCTTGCGATCGACATCCTTGACATCTTCGTCAGACACATAGTTCCAGCGGCACTGATGGTAGCCGAGCGAGAACTCTTGAGGCATGGCGGTAGTGCCGGTGAGCTCAGAATACTTGCGGATAAGGTCCTGAGGAGTAGGACCCAAGAAGACAAAGACATCCAAGAGGCCGGCCTCGGAGATCCAGTGAGTGCTGGTGCTCGTCTTGGAACCAATACCCAAGGCCAGGGGGTTCTTGGACTCCTTTTCCTTGGTGATATCAACCCAAGTCTCGGCAGCGTTAAGCCAGAAGATGCCAACACTCGAATCCTTGCGATGGGCCTGCAGGAACGGGATGGATCCGTACAGGGTCATGGGGCTATCGAGGATGTACTCAAACACATCGGCGTTGTACATGCGGTACGGCTCTTGGAAATTGCCTTCGCCGCCACGAGTCTGCCTGAGAGACAAGGGGCCGGTATGCGAAGGAATACCGTAAATGTGATCATAACCGACGAAGGAGATATCCAGGGCAACACTCTCAGGGCCACGGGGCTTGGAGTCGGTGTTTCCACCAAAGCTCTCCTCCCACCACGTGTTTTGGTCCTCACCAGGGTAGGCCTCAGGAACCTGGGCAGCGGTAGTCTCGACGCTCTCGGTTTCGCTGCTGCTGCTGTCCTCGCCCTCCTGCTTCTCAGGCGCAGGGGACGGCTCAATCCTGGGCCTCCAATGCTCCATGTTCAGTAAGCCCTTGTCATTCAACTTGATGTGCGTGTCTCCATCGCGCTTGAAGTCGATAGAGAAGGGGGCGAACTTGATGGTGGCCTCGAACTTGGACTCGGGGCCGTACTGGACGGTGATCTGGGTGTTGTCTTGGTAGTCCACCTTGGCCTCCTTGTCGAGGGTCAAGCCGCCGACGATAACCCATTGCTCGGCCTCATTGTAGCGTTGCTTCCTGGCCTTGCTGTCACCGCGAAGCTCGATCTCGCCCTTTTGTCGCTTCTCTTCGTCGACAGTGACACGCGCGGTTCCGGACTCGAGGAAGGAAACGGTGATGGGAAGGCGGACGGTCTCGCCGGCATCGTTGACCGTCTTGAGGATGGTGGCCTGCAACTGGCCGTCCTTGAAGGAGGTCGAGTCGGCGAGGATGTTGTAGGGCGACTCCCATGCGGTATTGGCGACGACGTGGTCGGCAAAGGCCCGGTTACGCTTACAGAAGCCAGCCTGGTCGCATTTCTTGAAGTCGTGCTCCTTGACGGCGACTGGAAGAGACGTCCGGTGTTAGTGGCAAGCTACGGATCGGGATAGGGAACAAAGCAACGCACCTGCTGGACCAAACAGGCCGGTCAAGGCAGATGCAAGACAGAGGTATGCCGTCCAGCCTCCCGACATGGACAGCTGGCCCGAGCCCAGCATCTCGAGTGGTGGTGCACCTCGCGGAAGGAGAAGGCGCTATGAAAGTCCAAGAAAGAAGCACCAAGCAAAAACAAAAGGGAGAGGTTTAGAGGCTCGCTTGGATCATCAAGAACAACACTCCCGGCCTTGCTGCTGTATTACAGAGTCCTTGAAGCTGTCGTCAAACTGCAGTACACAGTAGTCTGGTTGCAGTTCAGTTGTGTCGGGTATCCAAGTCACAAAACTTGGGTTAGGTTGACTTGTTGTCAGGCAATGTCAATCAACCAACCAATGCCTGCTGCTGGCTTCAGATGGCACTTGCTGTCATTAGTTGGCCGCAACACCGGGCATGGAACTTGAGGCAGGCGGTGCCCCGATTCGCCCCGTGAAAGCCAAGCAGGCCAAGCTGTCCCCTGCCAGCTAGCGCACCGCTTGGCATCGCGGGATTCGTTAGACGCATAGTAGTGTAGCTCTAGATGATAAACCGCGGGGTAAGTGCTGAGCATCTGCATGTCGACCTAAGCTCACCGTCTCAGTTAAGGGCGGGTACAACTGACTGGTCAGTTGGTTGGTTTGGTTGTTAGTACATATATGAGATGATAGCAGTTAAATGGATGCCCGACTTTTGTCGAATATTGAAGAGGAGATTTGGGGTTAGAGGTATCTTGGAAGGGAAGCAGACGGGAGGCTGCACGGGCCCTTCCAAATTCAACCTCAATGGATGGGGGACTCGGAGCACTGCGAGCTTTGCTGGCGTCCATCGTGGCTTCATCACGTCTTCCGGCCTCGTTTCCGAGCTTTGCGCAACCGGGCACTTACACTACAAAACAGAGACCCATAAGATCAATTGACAACGTGTTGCCTGGCCGCTTCCAGTTCTCTGCCCCATCTCAACATTGACTTTAACCACTTCAAAACCATCGCGTGAAGTGCCTACAGTAGCAGCCGTGCTTGAGTCTGGACCTGCTGTCAACAAAATCAGAGCTCGAGCTAAGCTTCGACTCACCAATTTGCTGCATCCAATAAGACCATGTCCGGCACTGACAGCTCGGAACATCTGCGACGAGAACACGACGGACAACGCAGACCGCCGCCGCAACTGCAACAGAAGCAGCCCGAATCGGGAGGCGCAATGGCTGCGGGTGCTGCTTCTAGTGGTGCCCAATCGAGGGCGAAGGGGAGCTCCAGTCCCTCCAGAGACAGGCGGGCCAGCTCGTCCAGGGGAACGGCCCCACCCTTTTTTTTTCCGGCCGTGTGTGGACTCCTCCTGGCCGTCCTCCTTTTCTATCTCGGCCGCCTCGCCTTCTTCCCGACCTCTCCTCCTCCTCCATCATCTATCACCATCCCCAATCAAACCTATACTCCCTCACCGGAACCACCCATAATCAAAATGTCCAACCAGGAGCAGACGTAAGTTGTCCCCTCCTCCAAGTCGTCAAACACAAGACACACGAGAATTCAAACCCCTCGGTTCTACCCCGCCATCTTGTCCATCTTGATCACCGCCTGTTGCGCGCATAAGCAACCACCACCACCATACACAATGCGATATAGACCCGATTGACTAACGCAAATATCCCCTCAACACAGCTTCATTGCCGTCAAGCCCGATGGCGTCCAGCGTGGCCTCGTTGGCAACATCATCTCTCGCTTCGAGAACCGTGGCTTCAAGCTCGTTGCCATGAAGCTCACCCAGCCCGGCCAGGCCCACCTCGAGAAGCACTACGAGGACCTCAACACCAAGCCCTTCTTCGCTGGTCTCATCAAGTACATGAACTCCGGCCCCATCTGCGCCATGGTTTGGGAGGGCAAGGACGCCGTCAAGACCGGCCGCACCATCCTCGGTGCCACCAACCCCCTCGCCTCCGCTCCCGGCACCATCCGTGGTGACTTTGCTCTCGTACGTTGGCCTTCATCTCTGCCCCCTTTTCATGACAGCTTATACTAACTCAATGACCAACAACAGGACATGGGCCGCAACGTCTGCCACGGCTCCGACTCCGTCGAGAACGCCAAGAAGGAGATTGCCCTCTGGTTCAAGCCCGAGGAGCTCAACCAGTGGAACCACCACTCCGCTGCCTGGATCTTCGAGTAAGCGTTTGCTTACAGGAAGTCTGACAGCCTCCCGCTGCTTGCTTAACCTCAAGCAACGGTATATCTAAAGGTATCATGTCTGTTCCGGTTACATAATGGAGGGATATAGAGAGCCTGGATGATGAAAATAATAAGAAATAATTCCAAAAACTGCCTGGTCCTTGTTGGTGATTGTGAGGGTTTGAGTTTGTTTTCTGTTGTTGCCATGGCAATGCTATGCTATGCAACACTTGATGAGATGAGCTCGACATGACGCCCACCTGCAGAGGAGCAATCATCCCGTTTGGTGTTCAGAACGTCCGAGCTGTCAAAGCAGCAATGACAACGACCAAGGGGCCGCAAGAACGCCGACAGGGGCAGGTAAACAAGCGGTTCGTCGCAACTTGACTACCATATATTGTTCAGGCTCTTGACATTTGCAAAGTGGGAACAAGCTTAAACAAATCACGAGCCTCTCAGCCTGTCGATATGTCACGGTCTCCGTACATAACCTGCGGTTGGATCTTACACTTGAGACTAAAGATCGCCAATGGGACCTACAACAAACACGTTGACGATTTGACGATTTCATACCTGCCGTCAATTTGGTGAAACTAGCGGTCACTTTGGCTGGATACGTAGTATGTTACACTCGCATATTTTCCTCGTGCTTGGGGATTCTTCGGTGCATCCAATCTCTTATCTGCCTATCGTACCGTCCTTACCGCCTGTCCCTGACGCTCCTGCCCCCATCTGCACCTAACTAATGTGATAAACTGCTATGAAGGTCCTTCCTTTCAAGCGTGCATCGGTGGTGAATATTCCATAGAGCAACAACGGAACGGAACAAAAAAAAAAAAGTAATAGATACGGTAGGAGAGCGAAAGATATATATAGCACCTAACCCCAAATCTATAAGGTGTCGACACCCTTCGTTCCTGAGCGGTCCAAACCAGAGTAGAGGTATGTAGCACCAACCCCACCTCTACACTACACGTCTACATACCTGCCCCACCACCCCACAGCCCCAGAGTGTTTCCAAATAAGCTCTAGCCTTGCGTACATCATTTCATCAATAACCATTCGGCGTGGTGGCAGAGTGGTCTAATGCGCAAGACTAGAAATCTTGTTCCTTCGGGAGCGTCTGTTCGAATCAGGCCCACGTCGCACGATTGACCATTAACATTTCTTTTTTTCTCATTTTTTTTTCTATTTTCTCTTTCTTTTCCATACTTTATTATTACTTTTTGCCTTTTTCTTCGTTTTCCTCCTTTTTTCTGTCTTGTCTTTCGAACATTGTGTGATAAATGAAATAGTCGGTTACTATAGGAGTGAGCGAGTCCTGCATGACTTCGCGTACCACAGTGGTAGATAGTGACGACGCGAGCTGTTGAATAAAGACATCATCACTGTTTGTGATCAACGGCGGGAAGAGCGGGGAAGGAGGAAGAAAGGGAGGGAGGCTGCAGTGGGATTGGGTGATGGGTATTGATCCCTTCATTCATTCCTTCGATGTGTATGTGACGGTTTGATTAGAAAGAAACTGGAGGGGATGACAATCCTGGGACAGACCAACAGCATTGTTGATCCATTTAATTGAGCTTGCTTGCCAACATAGACCCCGGAAAGTATAAATCTAAAAGTAATTACAACAAGGTAAACTGACATTGCGCTGCTCTTCGCGCAAAAAAAAGAAATGACAATATGTTGGCGACAATATAAGCCAATGATCTCTCCACAAGAGCAAAGAATTAGCCATGTTGTCCGGGCATTTATATACTTGATGCACCACCTTCGTGTATCTTTTAGTCAGCCAAAAGAAATGACAGTCCATGCGCCGAGTTCCCATGAACAGAATTACCATAATGATGTGTATCACCCGTCTATATGCTCCCATGGGGTTTCGCTGTTCGCTTATTTTTGTTGTTTGTTGTTTCACTTCGACAAAGTTGGGTATCAAATTACTCTCCTCCCCTCCTCTTCCCTCCTCCCCTCCATATGTATCTTTAACTACACTACTCACTGACAGAATCATCCGGCTCCCCCCTCGCCCTCTTCACAAGCATCTCTGCCTCTCTAGCCTCCATCCGATCCTGCTGCACGCTTCTCCGATCGGAATCATCATCATCCTCATCATCGTCCTCCACCTCACTCCGCAAATCCGGATCATCATCGTCGTCCTCCTCATCGTCTTCATCGACAAGACTACTGCTTCCCCCTCGCCCCAATCCTTGCTCCCTGACTGCCTCGGATGGCCGTCTCTTTTCGAAATCTTGCTTGTGCGCTTCGGCCATGACCTGGAGAATAGACTTCTTGCCCATCGACTCGACGTGACGGCGGCGGAAGGTGCCTCCGCCGCTGAGGCTGAAGCCGGTACCGGTACCTGTCGCCCCCTCACCAGAAATGGCACCCGACTCGGCGTGGGGACTGATAGCTCCTTCCTCTTCTGGGTGGGCGGCGCCCGTGGCCGGGGATGGGGAAGCTGCCCAGGGAGAGGTGGCTCCAGCGCCGACGGAGCCGCGAATGCGCTCGCGGATACTGGCGGCCATGGAGGAGATGGTGCCTCTGCGCTCCTGTTGGACAGCGCCTGTAGTAGTGCCGGTTTCAGCCTCCAACTCTCCGGCGGACGTCTCCTGGCTGGGACGCTCGACGAACTGATCGAGCTGGTAGGGAAGAGGAGTATCGCGCGAGGCCTTGTACTGGGATACGTTGGCGCAGTGCTCGTTTTCGACACGAAGGATGAGCCAAAGGCCACGACGGATGACTTCAGCCATGGCGACAAAGAAGGAGACAATCGTGCTGTGCTGTGTGTCGTGGGTGAAGATGGCGTAGAAGATCCAATTGAAGCGGAGAAGCGGGTCGACAACCATGATGACATAGTAGATCCATTTGGACTTGAGCGCGGTGATGTCTCGGAGGAAAGGGTAGCGGACGTTTTTCTGGAGTAGTGAGAAATCCATAAACAGATCCCAGATGGCTGTTTAAGAGATGTCAGTCGCGTATCACACAAATAAAGAAGATTAAACTACTCACTAGTATAACAGGCGTTGATGGTCGCGAATGTGATGTAGGCAGCCAGGATCGGTTGCGAATGATTGAGGCGATACAAGCTGAGTATAACAGCGGTGGTGATGGTCATGATGTACTTTCCGCAGTTGACAAGATGCGGAAACACATTCTTCGTATCGTGGTAACGCCTGATACACTGCAGAGCACGCCAAATGGGGGGCAAGGCATTGAAGAAACCTTGAAGCCGGGAGTGGCTAGAGTTACACATACCCGGCTGATCCCACTCATTCGCATACAGACAGAAGAACATGGGAATGTTCTAGGTAGGATTAGCAGACTGAGCGAATTACTGAGCTTGATGAAAGTAACCACTTACAGCTGCAGAGTAGGTCAAAGAGCACCAGATATCGCCGAGGAAGAAGTCTCGGAACTCGACAGGATACAAACCTGCCAACAACAAGCGATACTATGCAAACGTCAGTATGATGAAAGTTTCAAAGGCGACGAATTCGTGAGGTTACTTACATGCGAATACAAGAACCATCTTCGGGCTCGATGGTAAAATATTGGTGCCGGGAAGAACAATATCAATAGCGACACGCCTATCAAGAGGGCAGGATAATACAGATACATCTCCTCCCAGTGGCCAAACCTCGAAAAGTTAAGCCATAGGAACACGCCAAGAAGCGCAAAGAAGAAGCTGGGGAACTCGGCCACCTGCTTCCAGTCCAGATTATGCCTCGTGTCAAGCTCAAAGATGAACGGATAGTTAATCTTGTTCAGTGTCCATATTCGGCAAGCCAATGTGAACAGCGCGAAGAGCATGATCATCAAGAAGTAGCCGCCGTACAGCTGCAGCAAGTAGCTTGTGTTTTCCTTGAGAGTGTGATCGTCCTGGAAGAGTAGCTCCGAACCATAAATCAGACCCTGAACGGCAAAGACGGCGCCAAAGCCGATAAGCAGTCCGCTGCGGAAAGCACTGCCCGAAGCGTCTCCGGGACGTCTGAGAATATTCCGGAGTTTTCCTGCAGCCACTTTGTGATTGCCTTTTTCAAAGTATCTGGCGTATAAGTCTTCGACGGTACGAATGTGACCGTCGACAACGTCGCTGTTGACAAACCAAGTCTTGTTGACTTTCTCGTTCATGTAGCGGTACGTCGGGCGGGCATTGACCGCCTTGTCGTACTTCTTGTTAAGCTTCCGGAACGCAGTTCTGTTCAGGAGGGCATAAGACTTGAGGAGTTCGAGACCGCGGTAGTACTCCTGCAGGGCTAGCTTGAGCTTCCGCTTAGCTACGCGATAGGATACATCGTCTTTGTTTGGCGGTCTCCGGACATAGTCGCGGCCCTCTTCTGGCTTCTGCGGGGCCATGACTGGCGTCTCGGTCATCTTTTGCAGCGCTTTCGAGTTTGGGCCAGGCTTCATGAACTTGGTGCGGAGGGGCCCTATCCAGTCCGTACCGCTGTCCTTGCCATTGCTTCCTCCACCATCGCCTGGGTGACTCTTACTGCCACTACCTCGCTCCATCTCCTTCCTCTGCTTGGCATCCGCAATCTCCGTAGTCCGCCTGTTGCGCATTTCGTGAAGTTGCTCGCGCAAAGCAGCCAGTCGTTTGGTGGCTTGGTCTTCCTTTTGCTTGTAAAATGTCTCGATCTTGTCTAACTCATTGTCGAGAAAAGAGAAGAACTCGCTCTCGGCAGTACGGACGGACTCCAGATTCTGCAATGCTGTACTATCCCTGTTCGACATTGTGCGAGACAGATGAGAGCTATTGGAGAGAACCCGGGAAAGACGATGGGGAGAGCGTTGAGCAATGGTCGCGCTTGGAGGTAATTCGACGGAGGACTCGGTCGCAGTAGACTGGCCATCGGCACCTACCATCATGGACTTGGTGCGTCGTGGTCCGAAACGGTTGGAGACCGGGGAAGTTGGGGAAGCCACGATCGAGTCACGGCGGCCGCCTGTCCTCGAGGCTATCTTCATAGCGGGAGCGGGCAGTTCGAACTCGGTTCGATCGCTCGAACGCGAAGGAGGGAGAATGCTTCCATATTGAACCTCGTTGTCTGGTAACGCCGTCAAACCAGAGCGCTCCCCTCGTGCTTCGATGCTGCCTTTGCTGTTTCTGTTGTTCTTGGTCGGCGTGCGGTCGAGCTCTGGGCCGCCGCTCTGCAGTTGATCGGCTCCAGGAGAACCCTCATGGGAGCCTGGTGTGGTATCAGACCAGCGGTGTTGGGTTGGTGTTCGTTTGTGGTGTAGGTGGTGGAAGAGAGCGGCAGGTGCAGCATGTAATGAGTCGGGTCGCCTGGCAAGGTTCGGCGTGGTGCTTGCGCGCTGGATGGCCCTCGTAACCGACTTGATGAGCTTCTTTCCGAGCTTGTAGTTCAGATACTTGACGCGCCATTCTATAAGTTGGAAATATGGTTAGAATTACGGACAATTATGTCGGTTGCTGTCTCGGACTTGGAGCGGTAGTTGCAACGCAATCGCAGTCAACAAAGACATGTTCATTGCTTGGCACCCAGGTCGGTGCGACTCGCTTCAAGATGATCCAGCATGGTGTTTTCTGCTTGTTGTTCAGCTCCGTTTTTCTCTTACCTGGCACCGCTTCCTGCTCGAGTTCTTTGGCAAACCTGTCGTGCGCACATGTTTGTTAGCATTGAGCTTTTCGAAACGGGCGGCACAATGTGGATGTCACATGGGGGAAGAGTGAGTGGACTCTGGAGGGGAAATCCTTCCACTTACTTCATGACGTCAAGCCCAGTGGCAGCATTCCTCCACAGAACAGAAAGAAGCGCTCACTACAACACGAAAACCCAAGAACAGAGACGAGGTTGTCGACGAAGCAGTTTGTCGCATCTCAGGCAGCCGCGGTCTGGGAATCGGGCTGTAAGTAGTCTAGGTATGAATGGGCACGGGAAGGTCTTTGCTTTTTCGTAGGTAGTTGAAAGGGGGCAGGCATAAAAAAAGACGGGATCCCGGAAAGAGACCAGACCTACCTATCTATGCCCTGGAGATGCCGAGTGAATGAATCTAAAAAAGCGACAAACAGGAAACTTTCAAGGGGTCAAACAATGCAATGTGACCACAGGGCAGCGCCGTCCCGTCGAGCCCGCTTCTTCGGTAGATAGCTTAGCGAACTGAACCCTTCAAAGTTTTTCATCTGGGTCCCGCGTCCGGGTCTCAGGCAGCCCTGAATTTGTGGAACTGCTGCTCGCCAAAACGAGATGGGAAAGCGTCCCTGACATGCTTGGCCGCTGTAGCTGCCCAATGGAACCAATTCAGCTGCTGATTTAGCGGCTTCAATTTTTGCACGTGTACGCTAGTGTATACCGTTACCGGCCTACAAATGTCGACACCAGAAACAGCCCGTCAACTGAAACAAAAACTTGACTGTCCGGCATCTAGTAGGGTAGGTAGCTAAGGGACTCGGAATGGTTGCACACTCGGGAACCCCAATCCCGTGTCCTCCAATCTTGCTCGCATCATGGGGCCTTTGCATCCAGAAAACTCAATGGCCAAGACAGGTCTCTTTGGAGCACAGAGGCCTTGGCTGTGCGGAGGATTTACATGACAGACAGATCAAGTCTCCAGAAAAGCATGGTCATGATGCATTGTTATGGAGAATAACGTGATTAGAATGACGGGATCAGCGCAGATCCAAACCTGCGTTTTATGGAGTCTCTATTTTGACAATTGCCTTTCAAGCAAACATCTTCAGGGGTTTTCACCTTCTTCATCTCTTCCTCCTGATTACCTGCTTTTCCATAAAATACCGTATGGCTCGCTCCGTCCGAGTCCCTCCACCTTGCGTCCCGAGATCATCGGTGGCAGACTTATCAGAAGATCACCCTTTTATCCCTTAGACTAATGGGTAGACGAGCGGCGCTGACCGGTGTTTTTGCTTTGCATGACGGAAGTGCAATTTCCCACTCGCTAAAAAAGGAAAATACCATGGCTTCTCGAATGACGGGAACACAGCACGACTCGCCTGGCAAGCATATGGTTGGCTGTGGCCGACGTGCGGTGTATCCATGTTGCTAGCTGACCGTCGCATGGCTGCCGTTTCACCTTTGTTAGCGTCGAGAGCTAACATGCTCAGTCAACTCAGCTCTTATTCCACCATTTCGGCTCCGGGCTTGGTCCGCTGTCCTTCAAACCACTCACTTCACGACACGACGGTCCCGAACCCCGTCTCGCCCGACGACGACGACGACTGAGTCCACCATTGTCTCGATCCGGCCGGGCCTACATCTGAACTAGCCACCCGTGAGGCTGGTACTGACTTCCACCGCCCGCCGCAGGTCACTTAGCGTGCATGTCTACCTACGGGAAGCTACCTGTCGTGCGGCGCCTTCAGGCCACGGGAATGAGCGGATGGCGCAGCTTCTTTGAAAGGACCTACTACTAACATCTGTTTCCCGATAGGGGTTGAATGAGCGGTCTGCGGTCCGACAATGTGGTGTCGAGCGCCGCAAAAGACGTGACATGAGGGCAACGTGGGACGGAGTCTAGCACTGAGGACGCCAGGTCTATCGTACCATGGCCATTGCTTTGTCGTGAACTTCGTGGGTAGAACAAGTGAGAGCTACCGTACGACGCCGGCGATCTCGATAATGTGCCAGTGGTTTCCTAAACCTTCTGCGCGCACAAGACATTTCGCTACCAAACGTTGTAACTGGCACCTTGCCCGACTCGTCAAAAAAGCCGCTTTCAGGTCAGTAGGATACCTTGTCACGGAACATCCGGTCTGAAAATCAAGCAAGAAAAGAATACTTGAGAAATATATCGAGCCTCATGTCGTACCATGCTGATGTTTTCAATGTTTCTTTTGAGAGGCCGCCGGCAACTGGTTCCATAGTGTGGAGTCGATGATATGATGCGATACCCGTACATGAACCTATCGCGGTATGTACACAGTAGGTAAAGGCTTGGGGCGGGTCTCCCTCCCCGGAACGGAGCGGGGCAGGACGGGGTAACGGTTCCGTTCGGCTGCATGCCGGGAGTTCATGGCCGGCTCTGGAACTGCTTCTCATTGGTGGATGCGCACCACAACCTCTATAGGTATCAAGGGTCGCACAACTTTCCGCGTTCATGGTCGATGATTCTGACATGTTCTTGCCATCGCGCGACTATTCCATATCAGCGCATTTCTCATCATTGATCGCCTTCGAAGATCAATCTGGCTCTTGATCTATCGATTGACTTCGAGTCCAAGATAAGAGAAAATTTTTCTTTTTGGATACGATATCTTGGCCGAAAAGGGCCACATCGCCAAGACAGGATAACTGCCGTTATTCCCGTCAAAATGGGGGCATTCAAAGGACTCAGGCTCAGCCAGGGCTCCTCATGACCAGACACGGCCCGAAATCCAAGAAACAAGGACGGGCATCCCGATGACTCGAGTGAAGTGTTGAGAGTGTCATGTTGAGTGTTGGTGCTCCCGTTGCCCTGTCCGACATGGGCGCC